AGAATTGGTGTTCGCTGAAGTCTATAAACACCATGGGTTACCTCGAAGAATCGTGAGTGACCGCGACCCATTATTCACGGCGCGATTCTGGCAAAAACTTCATGAATTAATAGGCACAAAGTTGAACATGTCGAGCGCGTATCACCCACAGTCGGATGGATCGACGGAACACGCTAATAGAATGATTACGCAAATGATTCGGCAATGTGTTAGCAAGAATCAAAAAGACTGGGTTCGACGTTTACCTGCCATTGAATTTGCCATTAACTCTGCACAGACAGACTCTACAGGGTTTGCACCGTTCTTCTTAAATACCGGACGCATGCCGCGGCCATTTCTTTGGGACACCCCCTCGTCAACAGAAGCTAAGGGTGTCCGGGAATTTGCCGAGAACCTTCGCGAGGCGATCATTACAGCTCATGACGCTGTCCTAGCCTCTCGCACGAAGCAAGTTTGAGATGCTAATCGACGTCGACAACCCTCTCCCTTCCACGCCAATGATCTCGTCTACGTGTCAACAAAAAACATATCGTTTCCTCAGGGACTAGCGCGAAAACTAATACCCAAGTACATGGGTCCATTTCGCATCTTGCGCGACTTCGGAAATGATATGTTCCAGGTGGAATTACCCGTCCATCTTATTGCTCGTGGTGTCCACCCATCCTTCCATGCATCGTTGTTACGCATACATATACCTAACGATGATCGGTTGTTTCCCGGCCGATCGTTCGAGCACATTGTCTCATCTACTACAGCTAATACTACAGAATGGAATGTCAAGGAAATTCTAAGTCATTCAGGTGCTGGAGAACATGCTTTGTTTGAAATTCTTTGGCATACTGATGACAGAACATGGCTACCGTTCCATAAAGTCAGTCATCTTGAAGCACTACGTCGATATTTCGAATCACTAGGAATTTCAAAGATTGAGGAGCTCCCTAGGGGCTCAGGGATTCCCCCTAACGACCCCCAAATCATGCTCGGTTGCATGAATCCTGTCAAAATTGAGGATAATGGCTATTTAAGTGATAGAGAAATAAGCATGGAAGACCATCCTATTCACTCTAATAATCTAAGTCCATCTAATCATCCTCACCTCGCTTCTATGGCTGCAGTTGAACTAGGTAGATTGCACCCAGTTCACACAGCACTCTCTCGCAACTCCGACGGCGTGTATACGCTCAAGGATTTGGACGCGCGCGCAGCCACTGCCTCCTATACCCGTGACGAGCTTATCAGCTTCGTCTCCGCCAACCGTCGCATAATCCAAGGAAGTCTCACCGACCCTCTGTCACTTCCTCCCCGCTACATAGCCTTTGCGACTTTGTACAACAAACAATTCCACGTTACCACCAAATTCAATGTTCCCCATGGGCATGCCTTCCCGACTCGTCTCGCGGGACCAGGTCTCCGATTTTTGGGACTTGTTGCAGCAAGACCCCTTGTACCACGTAGAAATCCCAGGGACCGGCATCAATCCCAGGCCCCGAACAATTGGCGTACTGCGATCCCGCCTAATCATATGGGCCAGTCTAGACCCATGGTGGGCCAGAGTTCTAGCCGACGTCAACGCTCAGAGGCCGGAGAATTTGTCTTAACCGCTGAACGACACGATGTGGTAACCAATCTACTGCTTGATATGGTTATGGGCAAAGACACTTCCCCAGTTAATTCCCCTCCTGTACGCGAGTCTCCCGCTGTCCGTCGCGGTGGTGCTTCCCTTCGCCGTCCCACGCAGCAACCTGGGAAGCGCCATAACTCCACTCCGTACGCTCGCCCCCAGAAGATTTGTCCCATCATTGTTCCTACCAAATCGAGTCCCGACCTCGGTTCATCTCCGATTGATCAAAAGATCTCGGGTTTACCGACAGCTGATGACATTCCCAATGCGGATAAGCCACGCGACACTGTTCCTATCAACACTTGTCCCTCGCCATCCGACTCCGATATCGAGCTTGTCAATACCCCTTCCTCGGTCTCGTCTGAGCTTACGACCACCAGCGAGGATGTCGATATGCACACTGAGAATGACAAATCCAGTGACTCCCCTACCTCCAAGGTTCCCACTGTGGAACTTGCGGACCTTTCCATCTCCAAGGACTCCGCTATTGCCGAGAGCGCCAAGTGAATCTGTTCCACAGATCCAGGAGGGCGTATGTAACAGAAATATACCCGATACGGTAAAGCCACGTTTAGCGCTGGCTAGTCACACTCTTTTCTAGCTACGCTCTTTAGTCAATCACTCTCTTTAGTCTAACCTTAGTCTCTCCTTTTATTAGTGTATTTACTATGGCAGTCATCATGGTAGTCTACTATATAGTTACGAGCCCTATGTACGTTGTAGGGCAGAGTTGCATAAACAAGGACGACTTACCCCTGTCTTTGACTTGTGTGACTTCGTGTGACGCGACACTTCCCTATCCGGTTGTCTCCCGCCACAGTCTGAATGACGCGTGACACACTGTGACGAAAAGTTTGCAAATCTATGTTTTTGGGTACTCGTCGTACCGGCATCGTCATTGCTCTACTACTCGGAAAGGGATTCACTCAAAAAGTTGATAGGTATTTAGCCAAGATGAGCGACAACCCCTCGTAGCATGCCGGGAGTTGTAGGGACATCCAATCTGGAGCACCAGGTCGAATTGTCCAAGATTTTGCAAATCTGTCTAAGTGATAGTAGCGTATCTAGCGATAAGACAAGTTGATGACATCCAGCAAAGCTATTGCTCCCCAAACATCCCCGTTTGGATTATCTCCACCTCGCGCAGAAGAACACTCGAACACTCGGGGCTTCGTCCTCTTGGGTCCCGAATCTTGCTGAACCTCGATCACTGAGGCCTAGCATGACACAGTTTGGCTTCAAGGCCGACGGAGGGTTGCCCGTGTGAGCGCTCCTAACACCTGACAAGACGTTCAAAGTGTAAGAACACAAAATCAATTCACTTGGTCGTACCAATTTTTGATGCTGTATTGTCTCGGCAGGTCATAACAGCCAAACGGTCTACTCGGTATCTCATCTTGGCTTGGGAAACAGGTCATCTTCTTCCTCTCCGTTCAACTTCTCCTCTTCAACAGGGCTCGGCCTCTGTTTCGTAACTTCGCCTCAAAATGGCACATTGCATGGTGCGATAGCCTTGAACTACACGGCTACCTGAAATCTGGGAACCGATTGAGGACATATGGCGCCGTTCCGACATTCTCCTTTGATCTCAATACCATCCATCTCGATGGACTGATGTTTGAAGAAATTGACATCTCAGACCCAGCGCCAGACGTCGATCCATACACCAACGAGGATCGGTTATGGATGGAAAGGACTACCTCTGAGACACGACGTTACTCGGTTAACGTGAGGCTAAAAGACGGGAAGTCGTTGTTTCAACATTCCCCCGACTCCGGACCTCCGGCGACCACCGACTCGTTCCATTCCAACAGTCGGAAAATCCACTTTGATCATATCAAGCCTGCCGGCCGCCCCCTGAAGCAAGCTCCCGCATCAATGGGCGAAGCGTATAGATACCTACTGAACCCCTCTTCCCCCAAATGGACAAACAATCGAGTAGCCATGGTACGCGGCATGACAATGTCCTCCCTGCTCTGGAAGTTTATATCTATTGCCAACAAGGTCATTATTAATTGTGCACTCGTCATGGCCTTGTGGGTTTGTCTCTCGCACACGCAAAACCAGGGGATGTTATATGTATTCTCCGAGGTGGTCAGACACCTTTTGTCCTGAGACCAAAGGGTACTAACAACGATGGAGCCCAGCTTTGGGACCTTGTCGGCGACTGCTACGTTCATGGAATAATGGATGGTAGCTTTGCATTACAGGCCAAATTAGAGGATGTCTACACGTTCAGTATTGTTTAGTGAAACTCGGTTGTATCTTTAGCTCGATGTTTACTCGCGCACCGACCTCGGCCCCTTTCTTGCATGGTACATCAGCAGCCGTGTCTGTCGTGTGTCCCACCCATGTCGCCTTCAGAATCCGCCTTCGAATTCATGGAATGGACGCCATTGAGGGCACCGCCAACCTTTCAATCGATCTCAGGCTCCGGCTCGTCATGCACGTTCCCGATCTCATACAGCCCTCTTTCACGATCGACTGGCGACTCAAAATTTTGGAGATGCATTTTTTTGACCGAGATTTGTGCAGTATGGAGAGTTGTCAGCGAGATGACTTTGCGTTGCCCTGAAACCAGTCTGCATCCTGATATCTTGCAATAACGTTAGTCACTTTCCCCTCGCTGCTACGGTTATTTTCATGTTGCGGGTGTATTACAGAATCTCATTCATTGCTGAATGGATTCCCTCTGCAACCATCTAGACGCTTTGCTGCGCGCTGGTGCACTTTTCTCATACATAGACTCACTTATTTGCCACCAGGCTCATGCTTTATCTTCCACGCAGTCAGATCAACAAGTGGAGAAGTCATCCTTGGACTGCGCACTGGATGTTGATGGAGATCGCGACTGCGGGTGGGAACGAGCTAAGACCCAACAACCCTAATCCTACCAACAACAGTGCCACACATGTACCGTAGATAAACGGCGACAACAAATGGTGCAGGTACGTGATCATCGATAAGGTGGAGGACTATTGATACGAAACGCAATGGTTGCGTTGCCATAAGGTCGCTTAAGTCAAATAACTGAAGGTCAAACGCAGGGATCCTGTGGTCAAGCGCGTTTCTGTTAGCGTTGGTGCATCCTTTTAATCAGCCCTTTCCCGTCGCCTAACCTCGCACATCAAGATCTGGGGTCCACCCCAGGTTAAGCTGGAGTCATACTCTGTATAACCTTTAGGCCTGCGCATTGTGCTACACATCATGTGCACTGCGTATCCCTGATCCTAACAGTACAGCTCCGTTTATATCGCGGCAGAATCTTTGCAACGCGCAGTCAACGCCTTGTGCTCTTGCCACGAAGAGCGCTTGAAACTCGGGCTCCAACCTCATAAAACCCACAGATCGGTGACTCGCAACTCAAAGTCCCTCGACCATGGTTCTCACTGACTCTACGCTTCCAAACCCTCTCAACCCTCCCAAGGGGGGCCTTCACCTTCCTGATCCTTACCAACCAGCTTCTCCACCAGCTTCTCCACAATTTTATCAATCCACCAAGCCAATGATATACGCCACCGTACCCGTTGCACACCCCCTCACCCAGCATCATCACAGTACCCGACGACGATTCTTCAGAGCCTTTCTCGTCATTATCCTGGCGTGGGCCTTGATTGAAATGCTTGTGCGAAGTGTACCGGAATTTTCGTACTGGAATAGTAGGCACGGAGATGAACTGGTGAGTAAACCCTCTCGGGCTCCTAAACCCCTGATCCGAAACTCGTCATGGTGTAGGCTCTTTGGACGGATACCTTTGCTATTCGGAAAGGCGTCGATCACCATCATTGCGAAACGGAATGGCAAGAAGTCCCGTCAGGTTCACCGTTCTTCCCATTGCATGCTACCACCACCTTCGATGTGCCGTACGACCTTGACACTATGTTATTCCTGGCACGAGGCCCAGCAGGAGGGATTTTCACTGTTGTATCGTCTGATGAAATTCGCGACGCCGCCCGCGTGGACGTTGTCGTTAGCTACTTCCGCGAAGAATTTAGAGACCGTGCTAAGGTTTGTCGTATCGAGCGTGGAGAGAGTACTGCAGGCGTAGGGATCTTTGTGAGTTCTACCCTCCCATAGCTTGTAACTTAGTCAAGAAATCATTGTGATAGGCTCCGAAGTGGGATACCCGCAGTCCTTCCCGAGAGCAACGCCTGGACTTTTCGGTGGTTGTAACACTTCCCGCAAACTCGCGTACAAAACCTCTAGAAATCAAAAACTTCGAGGCCGACATGCCACTGTTCGGTCTCTCCGCCGAACATTTGCAGGACAGTGTTACCTTCGCCAACATCACTCTCGTCTCATCGGAAATGTTCATCACGGCCCAGGTCAGTAGCCGCCTTGATCTCTAGTTCATTTGGGCCGTGCTCATATTCTTTATAGTTGTTGGTTACTGAAAATGCTCTCCTCAAAACCTCCAATGGGCCCATATCTGGCACAATTTATTCTCCCGACTTGCGCCTCATCACTGCCAATGCACCCATATCCGGCACATTTAATGCTACAAAGTCACTGCACCTCATCACATCCAACGCTGCCATTCATGCAGATATTGGCTTGACGAACGACGGTGATCACTCCACTGATGCGGTCTTAAAAACAAGCAATGGGTAAATCCATCCTCTCCACTCTTACTCCTCTCCTCAGCACTTATCGTCATTTCAAAGTCCAATCCGCTCGTTCATCAGTCTCTTGAGGGATAAAGAATGTTCTTCTGGAGGCATATATAGCATCAAAACTACCACCTCCAACGCAGCTTTAGGTGTCGATTTCCCCACAGCACCCGTCAACTCGACTCTCTCACTGGACAGCAAGACGTCCAATGCTCCTGCCACAGTGTCACTCCACCCAACTTATGAAGGACGATTTGACCTCTTATCGTCGTTGTTCACCCCGGTGCTGGAAAAGAGTTCTGCCGACGATCCGTCTGGAAGGGGGCGCGAAAGGACAATTGAATCCCACTCCAGCAGGGGCGTGCTGTCTGGCAGAGTTCAATGGGCAGGTTCAAACGAGAGTGAAGGTAGGGTGCAAGTGAAGTCTAGCATTGCCCCGGTTGTGCTAAAGTTCTAGTGGATGTGTTGTTCTATGTCACTTTATGAGCTTTGAGTAGTATCATCATTCGTCCCTTCTGACATGAGCCATAAGCTAGCCTTTCCCGTCGTGGGAACTTGAATCTTTTGAGGTAAACGATTGAAAGCATCTTTCGTTCAATCCAACATAGATAGATTTGCAAGTCGTGGACCAACGGTGAAATCCAAGCAACAATTCTGCATCACGCGACTGATAGTTGTTAGTTGATGATGCGGCAGGATCCAGATTGGCAGCTCAATCCCACCCGCTGCGTCGTGAGACATATCGAGGGAAAAGGGAGAGGCATATTTGGTACTCTAATCTACAGTATCCATGTCTCTTTTCGCTGAACCCCCGGTCTGCCTCTAGCTACGCGTCCTCTGCCTGCCGGAACGGTCTTGGAAATAAGTCCTGTTTTGCTCTTCACCAAGGATGAATATTCGAACTACGGAAGACATACTATTCTGGATCATTACACGTTCAAGTGGAAAGATGGCCGAATGGCCCTTGCCCTCGGACTAGGTAGTACCGTAGTAGTCTCCGCCGTGATGCGGGGCAGATGGCTTATCGGTTATATCTACACCCAGGCTCTCTCCTCAATCATTCCGAATTCCCAAACACATCATACACTATAAATCATTCCTCCGACTCTATTACATACACTACGTCCAGGCAAATTGCGGCAGACGAGGAATTGTGCATATTCTATGGCAACAATCTCTGGTTTCAAAGCGCCGATATTCCTGGAAATATCAGCCCGCCACCCTTCGACGAGGACGACGAGGACGACGAGTGGGGCGGCTTGTCAACCATTGACGTTTATACAGAGCACAATGACATCGCCATGAGGAATCATAATCCGTTCTCGCAGGGTGATCCTAGCCAGATAATACCTGAAGAAACCCTGCCTTTCGATCGTTTCAAACCCCCTCCGGAAGAGGAAACCCTAGAAAGCATCCAGACCAGTGCGTTCGTCGTGTTGCTCTACGCGAAACGGTTATGTAAACCTCATTGATCGTAAGTGCTTGCCTGGGTCGTCGACATTGCCGATCCCAGGCATACAAGCACTATGCTAAAGTAGGTGGACTTCTCATTGCCGCTGTTAAGCGTAGCTGATTGTTTCTGAGATGGCTAAAACACAACAAACTTGAGGAGGAGATGGGCCACTTGAAAAGGGTTAGGAAGCAGGGAGGAACATCTACTATGCTACTCGTCACGGCACTTCCACCTGCGAACCTGTCATCAGACCCACCGTTCCCTCAGCTACTAGAATCCTTGCCTCAAGACCTCTTGCTTGGCACTCCATACGCGATCTCTGTCCCATCCTCAGTTGCACTTACACCAATATCACATCAACTCAAGAACTCCTTGTGGCCGACGATCTTCGCCCCGAAAAGGAAAGATGTAGGTGAGGAATGGACGCGGGGGAAAGCCGCTTGGGCTTGGGAAGCAGTTCATTATGTTATGAGAGAGGCATCGAAGATCAAAAGAAACGGAGAGGTAAGTCTACCCATGCCTTTGCCTCGTTGGCGATTCAACGATCGACAGGTTCCCATCGTTTCGTACGTTCCTTCACCATACGACTCGGGATCTGCCTCGGAATTGTCAATTGCCTTCGCCTCTCATGATACCCGAATCTCGGCCAATCATCCCTTGCGCCATTCCGTCATGAATGTCGTTCGCAAAATCGCAGACTACCGCAACACCCCTTTAAACGACTCGATCACAGAATCCTCCTCAGACGATAATCGGCAGAATGGATCACATTATCTTCTGACTTCTCTGACGCTGTTCACGAGCCACGAACCGTGCGTAATGTGCAGTATGGCGTTGCTGCACTCTCGGGTCAAGGAAGTTGTGTATATACGGGCCATGGGAAAGACAGGTGGATGTGGAGGAATTGCGTGCTTGCCTATCTTGAAAGGTGTCAACCATCGGTTTGGTATCCTCCGTTGGAAAGCCGATTTAGTAGATGACAAGGACGGGGTTCTCGTGGTAGATGATGATGTAGATGCGTAGACCTTCTCCTACCTTCCCCTCCCTTCCCGCAATTTTGCAAGAAAAGAAGCGGCGCATGTGACTGAAAGAACCACATCCAAGGAGGCCCAAGTCCATTCAAAAAGGTTATTCGCATAGGCGGCGAAAGTTCGTAAAGCCTTCGATGATCAACGTGGCCAAGTACGTACATCTTCGATTTAATTTCAAGTTACATCCTAGATGAGGTGAAGCTAGATGGAGGTTGCCACATCTTGCCCTGAATATACTCGAGCAAGGAGTCATCTGACAAACCCCGAAGCAAAAGATGTCCGTCCAAGTTCTGAATTAAACTTATTTAACAAGGTCGGGTGTATTACGGGAGAGCATACGCACCTCTTTCTGCGCTTGTCTGATCACTGCTGCAGCAATCTTGGAGCTGATGGTCCTGATCCTGTCTAGGCGAGGGTAGATCAACCCGCTGCGGACTTCGTCTTCATTCAAGGACTCGCTCAGAGCTATCGATGCTTGAGTGACCATGCTATCGGAAATGCGTTTCGCTTTCGACAAGATGGACCCAAGCCCGATGCCGGGGAAAATGTACATGTTGTTGCCCTGACCAGCTTCTAGAGCGACGTTGTTGTGCACCACTGACGGGTACGGTGATCCAGAAGCGAACACGACTTTACCACCAGTCCTACGAACCAAGCAATGGCCGTCAGGCACAACATAAGGACGCAGTTTCAAAAGTGGGCTAACCATTTCACGGCGTCGTCAAAGTCAAGCTCGGATAGCGATACGGGATTAGAGAGAGGGAATATGATGGGACGCGTGTTGAGGGATGCCATTAATTTGGCGACGTCTTCAGTAAAGGCATTCTATAGGCAATGATTGACGTCGTCGACTTGCTTGGATAATGTAGATAACGTACCCTCATGGTGCTCAACCCCAACAAGGCCGTCGGCTTGACGTACTCAATAATCTCGGTGAGCTTCGTTAATGGCGGGCCACGATAGTCTGTCCTGGCGAAGACTGCGAGCAGACTCAGTACACGTTTCTAATGCTGAGGGTCTATATATAGTAAACTTACACTTTTTGTGTTCCTGTAGCCCCTTTCGGTCGGCGGTGATGAGTCCTTTAGAGTCGACCGTCTGCAAATGCGGAGTGAGCATGAAGTACGCTCTGTAACTCGTGCTGGACCTTACATATATGTGTCCCTTTGCTTCTTCTTCGCTCATCCCCAGGAGGGTGAAGAACGATATGAGTTGTTTGGCGACACCGATACCTGCAGAACCAGCGCCAAAGAATAGGATTTTGTGGGAGTTTAATGGGCGACCAGAGGCTGCAGAGGCAAGGCGCGCCGCATTTATGAAACCAGAGAGTACCACCGCACCCGTGCCTTGGATCTAACAGGATTCAAGTTTAGATGCTAGCTAATATACATCTGGGGAGGGATAGTCTTACATCGTCATTGAAGCAGCGATACTTGTGTCGGAATTTGTCAAGGTATCTGAATGCGTTGTCTGTAGAAAAGTCCTCAAACTGGACGAGGAGGTCAGGAAAGACCTCGCGCATCGCGACCATGAATTCGTCCATGAATTCGTCCATCTATCATAGTAGATCGTTGAGCGGATGTCGAGACACGCCAACAGTGATTGACCACTCACTTCTACGCCCACTGGCCGTTTCCTGCGAACCCCAATGTAGAGGGGATCATCCAGGAACCTCTGCGTGTTTGTCCCGAGGTCAAGACAAATGGGTACAGTTGACTGGGGTCTAATCCCGGCTCCAGCAATATAAAGGTCTCTGCAATCATTGATGAGATGTTGGGATGCACTTTAGAGGTGATGATGACACGGACAATTTCCCAATGCTAATAGGCAGACCGTTGGCACCGAGGTCACCGAGCCCCAAGATTCTTGAACCTATAAGATTTATTCAAGCTCGAGGACATTCACACGTAAAGATAAGACAACCCACCATCTGTAACAACGGAGATACGAGCGTTATGGGCAGCTGGCCAGCCGCTGAGAACATGGCGTATGTACCCCTTATGCTCGATGGAAACGTATAAACCCTCTGGTCGCCTCCATATATGAGAGTAATTCGAACAGGCATCTCCCACCTAGATCAGTCAAGCCACTGGACTGCCAATGAGGGGTAGCGAATGACTTACGGTAGGCGTGTACAGGATAGGAACCAGTTCAAGCATATTGGCCAAAAGAATTTCATAGAAAAGGTGCGGGTCGCGCTCTTTCAGCGAGCTGAGGAAGATATACTTCTCAAGACCATTCGACTTGGAGCGCAACTGGACTAGACTTCGCTGAAGGTGATTGGTATCATGGAAATGAGGTGGAGGTACTTTAGGGGGTAAGTGGGTCATTGTGGCAAGAGGGGAAACTGCAGGGCCAGGGGAAACGACGGAGAAAGCCATTTTGATTGGGAAATGGAACCAAAATGCGAGTTATATAACTGGGAGCTCAGGACGGCTTGAGAGTGATGGGAAGACATGTGAAAACAAAAGCGTGTAGTGTTACCGGGGAGAGAGTAGAGTCATTATTAGCAAGGGCGCAATGTTGCGCGGCGGAGGAGTTCACAGTCCAGAACACGGACCTCCGCTGGTTGACAAATCACGAGACCGGGAAAATGACATTAGATAGTGATACGGCAGTGTCTAGTCGTGGTACTATGTGCACCAAACGGTGTATGGGTCCCATGGCATAAACCTAAAGCAGCGCCATTTGTAAAGCGATTCATCACGCAAGAGATAGAGAAGCTCACCTGTTTGCAAAATCGCGGAGGAAGGAACCCCGAAGCAGCGAGCTTCTTACCAGAACTCCCTTTTCCTCAAGCGGATGGCCTTTACCATTGAATGTCTCTCACTCCACTTCTCCCTATTGGCAGCATGCGCTGCATCCCGCTCTCGTCTCGCCGCTTTCCGGGCTGATTTGGGAAGAGCAGCTATGTACTCAATGAACCAGCTTGGACATCCAAATCTACGCGCCAATGCACTCCGCGTCCACTGCTTCGGGTCTGATCGTCGCAGCTCACGCATTTCTGCTTTTTGTTCTTCCGTTAAAACGAAAGTTTCGGAAAGTTTGGACGCGCGTAATTGGGGCGGCATTGACGTTCCTTCTGGTACATCGCGGCGCGGCTTCAGCAAAGGTGATACGGGATTTGTGGTCAACGAAAAAGGCGACGGTGCTGATGGGGGTGGCCGATGAATGAATGTCAGGTTTTCGTCGTTGAGGATGGTCGTGGTGGCGTTGGGATTGTTCCTAAGGGGGTCTGGTGCGTGATACGGTGGCCTCTCTGAGGTTCCTGGCTTTGGCCTTGGATGCCGCGTAGCATAACCTCGCGAAAGGGAGAGAACGGAGGAGATTCGTCTGTTCATGGCAGCTATTGGGATTACGCTTGGCGTTTAGACGCCCCAGTTTGTCGGAGGTTGTTGTGATGTATTTGCTTTGGCGCTTATTTCCGGGGACCGGAGTCTTGGTTTTGTTCTTTACTCTCTTCATGCAGAAAGGGCTCTATCAACTCACCAACTTAGTGAATTCGTTGCGGCATGGACTCCACGTGTGGTGGACTCGAGGCAAGCGTTATAATGCAGTCTGCAGCTACGACGTACTGAAATTTGATCAATCTGTACTAGAATATTTCATTCTAGTTGCCGAACGGTTCAAAGATAATAAATCTTTTCTCACTGCGCAGCTGACAACCAATGTTTGATTATGCTCGAAAATATGAATTAGCAGCTCAATCCCTCGTACTCTCAGCTCTGCATTTTCCATGCCACGGCTACGCTGAAACAGCCGTCCCTGTCTAGCCCCATGTCCCCTTGCATACCGGGATGATGCTGTAAACCAGTCTTGTTTTGGTCTTCAGCAACAAACTACGGGAGACGTACTATCTTGGATCATTGTTCCCCCAATTATGTCGAGTCACGGACTCGCACGTCGCACTCGTCAAATAAAACATCCGACCGACAAACGTATGCACCCTCCAAAAATAGACTCAACAATACACCGTCTCCAGAAGAAGTCCTGGGATGTGCGGTCGTGTCGCTCGACGTTCAAACAACCCACGAGAGCGACCAATACTCTAGCTTTCCTGGCACGCCCACGCGCGCACAGCACACTGAGCGGGTCTCAGTTGGCGGGCCTCGTATGTGGCGAAACATAGAACCCGAATTATCTGGTTATGTTGATCACTCTTGTGTAAATTGATACATGCTTGATATAGACAATTGTGCACTTCCTCGCAACGTCATATCACTAAAACAGCAACCCCGCGAAGATGAATATAATACATTTAGGATGTAAGTGACCATTAAATAAGTAAGCCACAATGTACCCTTCAAAGTGGATTTGCTAGAGTCACACCGGTCAAAAAGTTGATGGCATCTTTTCTGAAAGTGTCTTGGGTAATTGTAACGGGGAAGAAGAGGTTGTCGTTGAAGGTCACTAGGTTCGGCGACGATGTGGTGTACTTCGGCCAGTTGATTCCGCGCCCTTGGCCGTTGGGATCGAGCTTATTCACGAAGTTGATGAGGTAGTCCCCCAGCTCACCACCGAAGTACACATTGAGAATGTCGGAGGCGTGGAACTACAGGAGGAAGTTGAATTAAGTAACCGCTCGATTTAGAAAAAAAGAAAGCGTACGGAGCCAAGGAAAGGAGCGGCCTTGAATCGCTTGCTGACTAGAGAGAATGTCACAAAACACTCCAGTATCAAAGTTGCTATCAACGTACGGAAAGCCCACGTGTTCTGTTTGCTAGAGCGTTGTTGCAAGAAGAATCGTCGCGGCGCTTGGAATACAGCGTCTCCTTGAAATGCAGCAAGCCTCTTAAACTGCGGTGACAATGCATTCAGAATGCCTGTGCCGAACGGAGATCCTTGTATAAGATCCAGTGGATAATGATTCAACATTTGATCCAGTTCAGCGTTCGTTGATTGGGGCATGAAGAAAGTCTTGATATAAGTCCGGACCTGACTGGTGGTACTAAACAGTGCATTAGTCGTAGCACCAAGCAGTAGAGGAAGGTGTCATACGTGACGTTGAGATTCGCTAGGGAGAACAGGGTGCCTTCGTCGTCGCAGTCGCCGGTTACGAATGGCACGTTCGCCACTTTCCCAGCCTGGACGAGCTTCTGTGGGTTGTCCGTAAGAAAAACGCCGTCGGCTCTGGGAAGCCATGCAAGCGCCAGGGACTATGTCACAGTCTCATTGTCAAGTTATTTTGTCATCATGGCGTAAGGCTTACCTGGTAATCGAATATAAAGGGTGTATGATCAACTGCGGTCTTCAATGTTGAGTACGGAACCGATCGCAAGCACGCCAGGGTGTCAGATGCGCTGGAACAACCCGTCTCGGCTGCGATAGCATCATAGTACGTTTGACCGTGTGAAATGTCTCCCACGGGAATGGGTGATCCAGACTGCATGAAGGCACCACGGAAGAGACCCTCATGATTCCCATCGTTCGCTACCATATGGAGTGCAACAGAAATAGCACCCGCACTCTCTCCCCAACTTTAAACATTGGATCAGCCGAGAAAGAAGCTTCTGTGTGCGCCATGCACTTACATAGTGACCTTCGTGGGGTCGCCTCCGAAGCTCCATGGGAATTGAGCTGATTGTCGCAGATCCACATGAGTATAACTCACCTGCTGATGTACTTCTGGATCCAGCGTAATGCTTCACGTTCTACATGCGTCGCTTTAGGGGGCGAAAGGGGGCAAAAGGGGAAAACACGCACGATCTTGCAGTCCAAGATTTCCAACGCCAGCGTCTTTTACTTCTTGGCTCGCCAAAAAGCCAAATGCTGAGTAGGGAAAAGAAAAGTCAGGGTGCGTATGCACCAAGTACGGATAACAGCACCCACCACTTAATCTAATTCGGTCGATGTCAGAGCTAGAACGATACAGTGACAGGAAGGATCATACCTGTAGTTCATGCTCACGTAGATGACTGGCTCGCCAAGCTGTATGGATCGCTCGACTATCAGACCACCATCATATCTGATTGGTGCGAAGCATATGATGAGAATCCACGAGTATGGGAGTCTCTCGGAATGTCACTCACAGACTGGGGCTACCCAGTTCGAAACCACCTGGTGCGGTAATCTCTGATCAGTACCAATGCAGGGTCGCCGTCAAATCGGACATACCACCAAAGATCCACTACGCATCCGGGTTCAGTTTCGTCACCACGCGGACAGAATATTAATAACGTACCACTGCCACAGGAAGCTTGGATGTCGGCGTTGCACTTGTGGGTACTACAACGTTGATCGAGAGGCCTGCAAGAGGGGAACACGTTCAGGTCGCGTCTACTACTGGACCAATGCGCAACCCACAGTCTTCGCTGTCTGGGAAGATAGCTTTATATGCCGTGTTGACGATCAAGTCGACCACATCGCTAGCTAGGCCATCGGGCAAGGGAAGGCGAGCACTTTGCTGAGGGCAAGCAGGGCCAAATGCTGTCGCCCGGACTGTTCCTGTGTACGGTGGAATGGGCTCTGGTAACCTGAACCGGCGGTCTCCCGTACTATAACGCGTCAATGAGTATATGGGTACCGTCTACAAGCTGGTTTATATGGCTTACGGGGGTTGGGCGTAAGGAATACCGAGAAACTTGGTGACGCGACCTGAGGTAGTGCCGGTGAAGGTCGCAGAGTCAAGGGTTACGCTGTTTGCCCTTGGGAGAGGGGTTGCGGTGATTTGAATGGCGAAGAGCCCAAGCACGACCTGTAGAACGAAGAACATGGCAATGTCGACCAGGCGGTGGTTGTGCTTCTAGACGCAGCAGTCTCCTCATTATATATATTTCAGCTACAGCCATGGTTTCAAAAAGGAAAGGATAGTCCTGACGCTAGCTTGTTCTTGGGAAGCCATCTCACGACATCACGCGATTGAGTCCCAGTGAATGTTGCTGAAGGGTGACAGGTTCGGTGGATGGATATTGATAGCGAGCCATTCACAAAATGTGCACCGCATGGTGTGTAGGGTGTGCTACTAATGTTCCTGGCGCAGGCAAGATGGTCCCTTGCGCGATTCCGGGGTAATGCGGGGTAGCGTCCAGTATTCGCTCAAGAATTACGCAGAATTACGCCGGTTGCTGCCTTTGGGTTGTCTTGAGAATTTGACCGGCAGGGAGGAAGCGAGAGCCCGATATCCGACGGGACCTGTAAGTTTTATATGACAATGCCATCACTATCCTCGGGAGAACTGAAGAAGTACCTTGGTTGGTGCCTTCTCGACGGAATTCGAGGCAAAAGATCAAAATCAACTCTTGGTTTGATGTTGGAACACAGTGCGGACGATGGTTTCTATTTACGACATGTGAGGCTCTTCCTTCTTGACTGAGGTCATTGGTGAGCGCCATTTTTAGCAGCCGTTGGAGATTCCAAGCACGGAAGTACAAGAAAGGTCAGAGTGCCAGCCCTGAAAAGATTCCATGTGGACGCACCTCACGTGTGGCGCGCAACATATAGACTTGGCAACATCTGTGCTGGCGTGTAGACTATATTTTGCGGAATATATGGCTCCCCGACAAGAAGTTCAAAATAATCTCATGTTAAAACAACAAAGACAGAGACGGGGGTAGTGTAGCGCCGTCCTGGCAGAATGAGAATATGGGATCACGATTGCTTCTGGCTGGTCATATGCCTTCAAATTCGTTGGAATCTCGCGATCATCGCTCTGCGCGAACACACAGGTTGGCTAAACTTCCTGAATAAGCTAGATTAGTAACACTGATGAACATCCGAACCTCATCGTTCTTGACCGTGCGCCATGCTGTGAATCGCATTGACCATGAAGCGTATAAGCTGATCGCATATACTTCCGCAGTAAACGCAAAGCCCAGATAGGACAGTCCAAGATCACCATTCCTGAACACGTTCAGTTGGCGTTGCCTGTTGATAGGCGAGCATGAATTTAGCAACGGCGCGGCGTATCGGGACCATTGGTAACACTTGAGCCTGGTCGTGTCCGAGGGGCGGACCGCAGATCTGACATGAACTGAAGGCTGCGTACCGATCCCAGGAATTTTGTATTTTGTTTGTATTTTGATTAACCCTTTGGTAATCCATTCTGATTGTGATTAAGCGCATCAGTAAAGTTGACGACTAACCTTCAATTCACCTTCATATCTTGGTCTACTAGCCAACCAGCGTGAGTTCGAAGGTACAGTTGGCTGTGGCGGTAGTTGCGAGGCCTTTGAATGAAGTCATTCGTGTTCTCCACGTTCTGCACCTGATGATTAAAGCTCAAGCTTGAGGGGCGATCTTCCCAAGGTACGTCGAGGTTGGAGACCTGAAATCTCTCTGGACTATTTCGATCGAGGGGCTGTGGACCATTGCTTGTTACCTAGGATATCGAAATAAAAGAAAGCGTGTTAAAGAGTACAATACATCGCGAAGAAATAAAATACAAATCGATCGTTTAAAGCATCCAATTAAGATAATGCTGAAAATATAAGTCGTCAAGTCCCGACTTCCAACCACATAGTGGAAACTCACTTATAGTCCCTCATCATACAGCTTTCGCGACAAAGCGACATAAAACCTCTCCAAATCTTCCTTCTTCTCCAACTCATTCTTCTTCTTCCTGCCCTCCGCTGTCCGACCCCGTGCGTGCGAGCTATCGTGTAAATCCGCCTCAATCTGTTCCTTCGCCTTCGCCTTTCCACCCAAGATCGGTGGAGTAGGTACTTGATCCACCAACCAATCGAATACAGCAGATAAGTTCTTTGTGGACGACTTAATGACATCGTCGTCTTGTTCCCGTTGGCGCGTGCGAGCCTGTTCGCGCAAGGAAGCTTTCGTCTCGCTCGAACGATCCGGTTCGATCGATATCGAAGAGCGCGAAGGCGTGGGTGGAGCGGGATCAACATTACTTGCAGTGCGAGCTGCATCGTCTCGTTGCAGCTTTTCCTCCTTCTTCCATGCTCCAATAAACCGCCCCCAATCTTTGATACTCCACCCGTCGGCGGCGCCCGCTATCGCCGTTATGTCCAACTCTAGTCCCCTTGCGCCCCTCATTTCCCAATCTACACAAACACACAGAGATATGGAAAATACTAAGGTATCAGCAGCGAATTGGATCAGCTTCTAAGGAAAGAATGCTCACGGTCGCACCCCTCTAATATACCCAGAAACTCACCCCATTTCGCGCTCTGGATAGTCACTAATCCATCATTACCCCACTCCCTCTCCCACGCCCATCGCTTCATATCATCTTCAGTACTCTCGTGAGATTCAAGTCCTTCCCATACTGTTCGTAGCCGTCCTCTTTCCTTCTCTTCCCACCCATCGCACACCATCTTTGGTAACCAAAATGGATGCCATACACTAACACCTTCCAATCTACTCGCCACACTGAAGTATTTGACCTTGGGGTCATTGGGTGTTGATGGGTTGAATACGGTGTTCAGGTATGCCGTCGTAAGATTGGCGTAGGCGGGCGAGTCAACGACGGAGAGAAGGAGGGTAGTGAAGGAAGAAGGCAATGATGAAAGGGATAAGGAGAATGGAATCGAGGAAACAGGATTCGGGGGTGGTGGAGAGGTCGATGGCGCAGACGCTGCAAATGCCTCCTGCTCCGCTTTACGAAGTTTCCCAATGCCGATGTACTCCTGGCGTCAGCATATTTTCCAATCAGTTAACATACGAGCAGCTTGTATATAACACTTACTGCACACCAATCCATGAACGGACTGCCTCGATGCGGCGTGCTTACACTAGTCAAACTTAATGGAGTGTATTCTGTGGGCTTAATATGAGTAATCAAATGTCGACAATCCAGTCCGCCCATGGAGTGTGCGAGGAGATTAACCCCCCTGCCTCGAGCCCTAACTTCAAGTTGTTTGTGTAACGTTTCAGCACGAGAATTGATTGAACCAGTCCTGTTTTCCAGGTGAGGTTCCGCCTTGAATCTGAAGGAGGCGTGCGGCACTCACCCAGGAACGGATGTGACGATGACGTCGGCACCCACTTTATCTCGAAGGATGTTCAACACATTTGACCAATAATGTACGCGAAGACTCGGAAACGAAGAGGGTCCTCGAACATCAAAACCGTACAGACCTGAAGTCGTCAGTGAGAACCGACACGGTCAACGGCAAGCGACGCGTACCGTGGCAAAGGACAACTGGGTACCGTGGCGTTCTTATTGGATCGGACAAGGCAGGATTGGCTAGCAACTGGTGAATGATGTCTGGCGGAGTGTCGTCCTTCGGCCGAGGTGTTCGACGATGGTGCCGGGGCGCATTGTGCGGATTTCTCGGAGGTTCATGCGGTGGTTCATGGTGTTCAGCCGATTCCCTATCATTACGTGAAAGTTGCATCAGGGAGTTCCACGTCCATTTCCGTTCCGTTAACCATGGTAAGCCAAGAACTGAGGCTTTTGACCCAGTAAGTTTCACATATGGTACTCCAAGTGAAGGCAACGTACACTCCAGCGTCCCATTACCAGACAGGTCCTTCCATCGGGGCCACTCAAGCATGCGTTTCAACACCGGCCATCTGGAATGTTGCAGTGGTTCACTATTAACTTCCATTCCACTGCCATGCGCCTGGAGATTGTCGAGCTTAGCTTGCCTATGTAGAAGGTATTGATTGGATAGAGAAAGGGTTCCGAACACGTTCACAAGCCGACGTAGGAATAGGGTAACGTGGGCGGGGACGTAGACGCTGTGCATTATAAAGAGATGAAGAAATCAAACGGTATAAATGCTAGGAGAGAACACAGAACATCGAGCCGTTCGTTGGGACGTGGTTGTTGAAGAAGAAGTGAGCCCACGTCGAAGACCGTACCGAACCCCAAACTAGCTGCAGTGGGGTTGTTGTATCATGACTGTGAGAAATCAAATGTAATCGTGAGAAGAATATAGCAACGGGATACGGTCGGCTTGTACCTACTTCCTTGAATCCCAACCTCACCGACCGCCGCTACCGCTATTCTGAAAACGTCGATAGGACTAGCTGGAATAGCGTACGGGCGATGGTGGGGGCTCTCATACTGGTTCAACTGCTCTCCTGGCTTCAATTGCTTGCCTGCCCCATTCCGATTGGCGATAGCCTGAGGAGAAACTACGACCCTCTGGACCTACTCAGCCTACCGGTTCGTGCTGCCAATTAGTTGGTTACTGTTGGTAGCATGCTAGGCTACCTGGCTGGGCCAGAGCATTAGAATTATGGAGAGACCAGCAATTCATCTCGGGACTAGTCGCTACCAGTGGAGGGTTGTGAGATTGCATCGGGAAGAACCCAAAGCCTGTCACGGATTGCACCAATGAGACGAGTGAACTTGAATGCATCCCTACCCCGGCACTTTCAAGTTCTACTCAGTTCATTGTCGTAGTTGATAGGCTTCAGGCTCTAACCGCAGCGGTGAGTCTTCTTCCTCGTCATTTATTCCCTTACTGACGTTTATCGGATTGCCTCCTCAAGCAGGCATTTATCGACAAGCGAGTTTCGTCAACTCGGACCAATCTCGTGCGTAATCACAAATTACGATTGGCAAAGGATCCCTGCGTAGCCTAGGAGTGCTATGAAAACACGAGCACGATAGACATGGGTTTATTAAGTGTGTACAATTGTTCGTCCATCTACGCTACTAGCACACCAGTCAAGTCATTGAGCCGCAAGTCAGCGAACTTCATGCCATTACGAAGCAGTTCTTGATCTTCTGTTTCAATACTTCTCCATTATGAGATAATCGACTGTAGATCATTTCGATGTTACATTGGAGGAAACAAGATTAGTCTGTTTGGATGGCGATTGACCTGGGCGAATTCTTCCTCTCTGGAATTGATACTCATGTGTATCATGTAACGACGCACCCTTAGGCAAGCAGCAGTCGTTTTCGTTGCCGCTAAGTCGTTCAATGGAGATTACGAGCGCCAAAGCACCAGTTCTCTCCACGTGGACTTCGCAAGGATTTAGTAAGAAATCTTGAAGCATTGCTCTCTTTTCCCTCACTCGTTCGCCTTCGTTCGCTTGCTGGGGACATTTGCGATTTTCCAGGCTGCAACCTGTAGCGATCACACTCCCTAATTGTGATTTTTCCAAACGTCTCACCGCCACTCATAACGACTCGGACATAGCTGCTAGGATACCAAGTTCGATGTTAATTCAATGTTGTGGCCAAAATTCGACCATGCGTGGGCCTTTGTTTATCCAGGTTCGTCGAATTTACCCTCCAGGCTTGTGTAGGGATCCCAATTCTGACTTCCTGCCAATTGTTGTCGTCAAGTTGCCATTCGCACTCCTTTGTACTCCCAATTGTCATACTTACTTGGTTTAGTACCTCAACTTTTCTGGGATACTTCGTCTTCGCTCGGACCAGCTCTCTTGCATTGTATTTTTTGCAAATTGAACGCGCCACTGTGCCACTCCTCCGTGCTACTACTGACCTCAGGCTATATAATGCAGTTGTCGAAGGGCCTGACTACCCACACTTCCCTTGCCGCGCTATTGACCTCCATTACTATCGCTTTCCTTACCCCTCTGTTCTTGCTTACTCGTCTTCGGGTCAATGTCTCATAACCTGAATCGTGGTCAGAGATTTGACACTGGACAGTACCACTGTGCACCTACGCCATCGACACCTTCCTCAACGTCGTGTCACGGCCGCAGCTCAACGATTGCGGGGGTGAAAGGGCTTTGGCATAGAGGCGAAGAACCCCAGGAAATCATCGGAAGTGACTTCACTAGCTCTACCTCCTCTTCATCCGCCTATGAAGACACCAGTAATGCTCGCGAGTTCGAGGAGTCCAAGCCGAGTTCCTTCGGCATCGGTACATACATCCAAGAGAAGGCATTGGCTGCGAGGGAATTGTACCTCAGACAGAATAACCTCCCCCTCGAGGTCCCCAAGCTCAACCCTCATGCATCAACGTTCGTGCCACAACACGTTCGACCTCTCACGGTACCTCATTCGAACGCGCTTTCAATGCAACCTCCACAATGGTCCCTTGTCTTCGCCAGAGGTGCCCGAGGCTCACCCGAGATGCAGGATGTCGTAGCGAATGAGCTGATCAACACCTTTCCTTGGAATTTGTACGAAGTCCCACAGCTGGCTCAACACTTTTGCTGGATGGGCGCGCTAGGCACTCCGCACCTCGCACCGTTCGCTTCGTCAGTGAATAGAGCTCTCAGTGGCAGGGCAGGGGAGCTTGCTCACGACTTCAGGAAACACCTACAACTATATTGTCATGACACATTTATGGCATTTTGGGATATGGTGAGTCACTCTATCCCTCTCGTTCTCAGTTGGGGCTTACTCCACATGTCCAGGCGTACCCAAGCGCTATAACGTTCCAAACCACTGACGCGTCTTATGTTATGTCCGCAATTTATCTGACGTCTTTCATGGGAGACCTGTTCAAATGTGGCTTACTCCTCGCAGGGCCAACCATGGGTTGTCTGCGAGTCCTCCTCCGAAATACCGTCTCCCTTGAACACCTAGAGGCCATACGCACCTTTTTGATACAAGCTGGCAAAGGTCTGTGGTTTACGAACCCTTCGGAGTGTGCCGGTGAGAGGTGGTCAGTGGAGTTGGGGCGATCGGCTATCCCTGCGTTTAGGAATGACTTCTGGAGCCAAACGATGAAAATGACGGAGACATCTGGAATACTGCGGACACCGAAAGACGGGGAAATTAGGGAAATCAATTACGAGATCATGGGGATTTTAGACGTGTGATTTTTTGTAGGGTAGAGGGTATGCAATGTGTATCGTACGGGCTGTGTAATTACGATTGAAAGTTATGGGGATAGCTGATGATCCATATATGAGGCACCACCTAAGCTACGACTGATGTCTTTGTCCTTAGGAGTTCGCTATATCTGCAGAAGGTTCCACCCGATAATCTCTTCTTACATAGCAGCAACTCATTCACAAACCATGGTCCGTAGGGTAAAACCTGGTAAAACGCGATGCGCTGCGGGATCATCAAGCCGCCTCACTTGCGAGTCCTTCGTCAACTCTTCCTTGGCCTTTCAATATCCCAAGAATACCAGTAGTATGCTCACCATTTTATCAAGGGAAACGCAATTGGGGGAAATGCAAACATTACGCCATATACATCGGTTCTTGGCATATTAGTCTCGACGCAGCTCGAGGTCGATACGTACTTGAGGATCAGGATGGATTCGTGTCACCAGTCTTTTCCCCCAATTCATGGGTAATTACCACCAAGTTTATCTTCCATCAAGCTCCATCGGGTCAGCTTGCTTGGCGCTGGGTGAGCGCTGATCCCATGGTGAATGCCGACGGCCTGATCATCCTTCGATCGCACTCATTCTGACTCGACACAGGGTCTTTGCCCCGTGCCCCACGCAGCCGAGCACCCTTAAAACGTCCTGGAAAAGTGTTCATAGAGTAATTCTACTGATGATCTAAGTGTATCATGCACAATCCTTTTCACCCCGAACCCGCGCCACCAGGCTTTGCGACAGGAAAGATCGTACCGGAGGAACGAGCCTCGTATGTATTTTACTTGAAATACACTGGTCGCAGACGCTGAACAAGGTCTAGCATTCTTTCCCGGATCGTGTTTCATTGGCTCACTCCGCTCCTACAAGTTGGATTTTCTCGGCCGTTGGAAAAAGAAGGTTTGTACAATACCTAGTATGATGCAGCTTGATTGGGTTTTGAAATCCATAATTTATAGACTTATGGGAGTTGACGCCTTCAACCCTTTCGACATCACTGGCCCGGCGTGTGGAGACGGAATTCTACTCTCGATGCCCTCCAGAGAAGAGACCTGCCTTCTTAAGGGACTTACAGCCTAAACAAGGGCCGCCCAAGACAGACGAATCACTGTTCAAAGCTTTGCACCGTGCCTTTCTCATTCGGTGGTGGGTTTCTGGTGTCTTTTACTTGATTGGGGGTATGCGAACTCCTTATTTTTTTCATTCTCTGCTGAACTGGTATACCAGAGACCCTGAGAACAACTACTCCACTCGTTACAAAGGTTTTCCTGACCTGGCTGACGGAGTCGTACCTATATCACCAGCTGTCCCAAGCCTCTAGGGATGCACTTGGGTTGGAGCGACCAAAGGGAATCGGATTCGGCATTGGATTGGCGTTTGCCATTTTCGCAATGCAGCGTAAGTCCATGGTCGTCATTTCGTTCGCTGAACCAAACTGACACGTCCCACAGAGTGTGCTAGCTTGGTGAGTCCTCTAGCTTTCAGCACAGTATCGTAGTTCTGAATGGACCGCTTTAAGTTCACTAATCATTTCTACATGAGTAAGCATTCAATTATTTCGGTTATTGTGTGGTTGTGTGGCTTAACTGATTTTGTTTCCATCTTGTAGTGGCGATGACGAATGGACTGCGCGTGCGGTCTGCAGTAAGTGACCATCCATGCTTCCAACACTGTCGGCATTGTATTAATGTGCTACTTAGCTTGTTGGCAACATCTTTCGGAAATCTCTCCGCCTATCCGGACGTGCGCGAGCGCAACATGGTGTTGGTCAAATTACCACCATGATATCCACTGATTCAGAGCGATTGGATGCATTCTCGTCAACTGCTCATGGGTTCGTTCCGCAATTTTGGCCCTATAATGTCTTGTGCTAACCGAGATCACTTTATTACGACACAAAACACACTACGTACAACGTCGCTCAGACTTTGGGTTGCTCCTATACAGGTACTCCAGTTCTATCCATTTTTACGGAAAAACGAATATGTTAACCCTCCGTAGTTAATCCTTTGCATTGGTCTCCTCATCGGGAACGTGCGTTTTTGTTCCTTCGTTCAACTATTTAAGTAGAATGACAATCATTAAACCGCTCTTTCTTAGTTAGGGTATTCTGCACTTGTCGGCCTGGGCGTTCTCATCTTTGGAATGATACCCCAAGGATTCCTCGCGGCGATCATCTTCAAGCAACGCCAGAATGGAGTAAAATTCACTGATGCTAGGATGAGGTTGACTACCGAGGTTCGTATATCTATCTGTCGGAATATCATGAGTGATACACAGAATACTGATTGGCTGCGACGATGAATAGGTTCTCCAGGGGATACGTATACTCAAGGCCTATGGATGGGAAACGTTCTATGCTCATCAGATTGAGAAATGGAGGCGCAAAGAGATCAAGACACTGAAGATCTCAGCGTAAGGGGAACAACTGACGTCTCTGTGACGCTATGGTTCTAATCACCTCATTTAGGGCGGCGACTTCAGGCCTCATTGCTCTAGTGGGAGTTATCCCAATTCTTTCCGCTATCCTCTCGTTTGTGAGTAATGACCACATTGATAAGTTTGTGTCGGCTCTCATCAACTCCTTCGCCTCGTTAGATTACATACGCTTTAACCAACCACGATCTGAACATCGCCGTAATCTTCAGCTCGCTCCAGCTTTTCAATGTGCGTCATCATAAGTTTACTTCCATTCAGTATACTTATACGAATCACAGGTAATTCTCGTACCTATGGCCACGTTCCCCATTGTTCTTGGTTCCCTTTCGGGTGCGATAGTTGCTCTTAACCGCATATCAACTTTTCTGCTTGCGGAGGAGCTTCCTGAGCCTTATCCTATCGACGTGAACAGCAAGTATGCAGTCGATGTCGACGGGGATTTCACTTGGGAAGTTACAGAAGGGGTAGAAGAGAAGTTTTCCCATCCGAAAGAAGGTTCAGAATCAAACGAGGAGAAGGTCAACTCCATGAAAGATGTCAAGCAGAACGAAAACGACCGGGTCTTGCCTGTTATTGCCCCTGATGGCGACGAGAAGGGAAATAACGTCGCCGGAGAGGAAGAGGATAAAGCACCGTATATTCTGAAGGGTCTCAAGATGCAGATTGAACGAGGTCAATTCGTTGCTATCGTCGGCCGTGTTGGCTCTGGTAAAGTGAGCAACAGGGACCCTGCTATCTTTTCAGAAATGTCTGCTAATTGAGTGCTGTCCGCTTTCCATAGAGTTCGGTATTGCAGGCATTAATTGGAGAGATGCGTAAGACAAGCGGATCAGTATGTTTATGACTCTCGTCTTGTCGAGTTTCGATTATCATAATTGGTGCTAGGTTACTCTCGGAGGAACGATATCGTACGTTCCACAGCGTCCTTGGATTCGCAATGCCACCGTTCGCGAGAATATATTGTTTGGCCAGCCTGCGGACGAAGTTCGGTGAGTTTGCTCCCCTTCATACAACCAGCCGCACACTAATGGTGCTGTAATGCTAGATTGCGTCAGGTTATTCAAGCTTGCAGTCTGGACCACGACTTGACCATCCTCCCCCAAGGCGAGGAGACCGAAATTGGAGAGAAAGGCATCAACTTGAGTGGTACGTCTGTCCGGCTTTCGCATTCCTGGTGATCATACTGATGCCGTCGTCGTTACTGCATGCAGGTGGTCAGAAGGTGACGCTTCATGACGTTGGTAGTTTCTCCTGCTCAGTTGCTGATACGCACATACTAGGCACGCGTTTCACTTGCTCGGGCTGCTTATTCCGATACAGATATCGCGATTCTTGATGACCCCATCTCCGCTGTCGACGCCCACGTCGGCAAGGCCATACTCGAGAATTGTCTTCTATCAGGTCCACTCGCTAGTCGTACCCGTATTCTCGTCACACACGCCCTTCACGTCTTACCCAAAGTCGATTACATCTACGTCGTCGAAAATGGGCAGATCGCTGAGCAGGGGACATACGCAGTTCGTAGTCATTCGGCATACATGCTCTGCGGCTAACTAACAAAGACGTCGTTCGCTACAGGATCTTGTAGAAAGCAATATTGCATTCGCCCGCGTACTTGAAGAATTCGGTTCTCAAGGAAATGAACTAGGGGTGCCAGGGCAAGCCAGCTGGAAACTCACTCAAGCTTCGGAGGGAAAATCGCAGGGTGGACCGCTTGACTCCCCCTCCCAGTTGATGCAAGACGAGGAGCGAGTCACTGGGGCCGTTACTTGGGAAACCTATTCGAAATATTTCCGTTACGGCGGAGGCATCTTATGGGTGCCTCTGATTGTTATCTTGCTCATCGTGGACCAATGTCTCTTCGGTGAGTCCCCTTTCCATACTCCTTGACGTGCGCTCCCTCATCTCATCTCCTTGTTAGTTGCAACCTCATTGTTCCTTAGCTTTTGGACATCAAACACTATCCCAGGATTCACTCAAGCGAATTACATGACGGTGTATGGCCTTCTCGGAGTAGGCAACGCACTTGCTTCTTTCTCTGTCGCGTTGTCGTTCTTGTGAGTCGGGTCACATCTTCGGGCTGAACTGTTCGATTTAATTGTATGGCGCCCTTCAAGCCTGACAGGGCTGATAGCTGGCTTTAATCTCTTCCGTAAGGCATTGGCCTCGGTATTGAAGTCTCCAACAGCCTTCTTTGACACGACTCCGATGGGTAGAATGATTCTGACGTCTGACTGCCCACACATGTGCTTATGAATATTCCTAGGTCGTGTTTTGACTCGGTTCTCCAAGGATCAAGATGTCCTCGATAGTAAACTGCCTGCAGTTTTGTACTCCGTAGGTCGATTTGGCATCCATCGTCTTTATCTATTTGACCAAGGTCCTTGTTCTTTTAGTTCATGGCTACCATAATGTCTATGTTCGGAACCGCTGGCCTGGTCTTCTATACTTTCCCCTATCTGGGGATAATGTTTGCGCCAATGGCAGTCATTTATTATGTGATTGCCAAGTACTACAGAAGGACATCGATTGAAACCAAACGTTTGGATTCTTTGATGCGCTCCAGGCTTTACGCGTCTTATTCTGGTTCGTACAACCCATCCCATGATCGCGCTATGACTTATGCGGGGATGCCGCCAATAGAGGCCCTGACGGGCTTGCCCACCATCAGAGCCCATAGGATTCAGGTGAATATTTAACCGATCACACACAATACACAATGTAGCTGATCTCGTCGTGAAAATCAACAGAAATCATCAATCGACGCAACTGAGCATGACCTCGACATGCAGAACCGTGCTTACTATGTAACACTTAGTATCCAACGATGGTTGGCTATTCGTTTGGATCTTTCAGCGAATATCCTCATCCTTGGCATCTCGCTATTCGGGGCTGGGTTCCGTGAGACGATAGACCCGTCAAAAGTCGCCCTCGTGTTGACGTACACACTCTCTGGTGAGCCTTGGTCATGTTTCATCTGTAAACGCAGACCTTTTGACTTGGTTGGCCTCCTCAAAAGTCGCCTTGTTGTTTAGTGAGTCTCAGTTAATATTTCTACTGATAACCTACTTGTATTTATCATTTTCGTGTTTTCCAGCTCAAGTTGTTAATTTGTTCGCTGAGAACGAACAGAATATGAATTCAGTCGAAAGAATGCTCGTTTACACCGAGCTCCCACCTGAGGGTGATCAAACAAAGCCGAATGACCCACCTCCTTCGTGGCCCTCCCAAGGAGGGATTGAGTTCACTGATGTGAACTTCGCCTATCGAGATGGCTTGCCTTTGGTCTTGCGAGATGTATGCTTCCAGGTGCGACCGGGTGAGAAAGTGAGTAAAGTTGCTGTACTGCCCTAAACGGTGTTCCTCAACGTGTGGTTAGATAGGGATCGTTGGGCGAACAGGGTCCGGTAAGTAACCACCCATAAGCGACCAAAGTAGTTGACCGAATCCTCATCACACACAATAGGCAAGAGCTCGTTGCTCCAAGCCCTATTCCGGTACGTAGTCAGTGCCGACCAACCTTTCTATATATCTAAGGAACGCGAATAGATTGACGGAGCTACGTGCGGGTACAATCGCCATCGACGGTGTTGACATTAGGAGTGTCGGCCTCGACGTACTCCGAAGTCGGATGGCCCTTGTTCCCCAAGACAGTACGCTATTCTTGGGTACTTTACGAGAAAACTTGTGCGAATGCCCTTTGTTTTGTCATGCGTTGTATATTAATGACCAACCTAGGGACCCGCAAAAGTCGCGGACAGATGCAGAGTTGATCTCTATACTTCAGACCACTGGGCTGCTACCCCTTGCCGGCCAGCAGAATCCAGAGTCAGAGAAGAAGTTTAGTCTGGACGCGGCCGTCGGGGATGAAGGTGATCCACACCATCATGCAGCTATTTCCATTCGCTAACAATGAAGTTTGAAGGCCTGAATTATAGCGTAGGCGAGCGGCAACTTCTCTCCCTCTGTCGAGCACTAGTGAAGAATAGCCGCATCATCGTTTTGGTAAGTTGCAGAATGTCCCGTTTACCCAACATATACTCAAGCTTGCATTCTTCTATTAGGATGAAGCCACAAGTAATGTCGATGTCGAGACTGACTCTCGTATACAGCGAACAATCCAAACCGAGTGGGCATCCTCTACACTCATTTGCATCGCACATCGTTTGAACACGATTGGTAAGTTGTGGCTAGCCCTTTTTGCACTATGGAATATATCGCTCACTCTGAATGTCAGCGTACTACGACCGCGTCTTGGTTATGGATTCAGGACGAATGGTCGACTTCGATACCGTTCTGAATCTATTCGATAAGGAGGAGAGTATATTCCGTGCCCTTTGCGACGAAGCATCGTTGAATCGCGAGGACATTCTCAAGATTCGCGCCAGCGCGAGTGCCCAGTCGAAAGATCTATTGCTGTAACGGCATCGCGGACGCTTGAATGGAATGCATTATACCTACCGAGATAACCCCCAAGCTTGCACCACTGCTCTACATATACCACCGCTCATACACAACATATCCCATCTAATCAGACATAAATTTGGACTGTACCCTTTATTAGCATTGAAACACGAAGATGCAAACCTCCGCTGGTGACATGATGGCGGCCAAAATTATGGCGCCCTGATTCGAAACGACCCTGAACAATCTCCCATCTAACTGCGTACTACAACATTAATGCACATTCGTTCACTACTATCCCCCAGCACTGCTCTTGTGCTGGTCTCACTGGTCGCCGCCTCGTCTGCCTCGGACGTGGTTAACTTGACCGCTCTCTCTTTCGAGACGGTCGTTGGCCCGGAGCCCCTCGTTCTCGTTGCATTCTGTACCTCATGGTAAGTTGATTAACTTTCTGATGCTTTTAGCTCAAGGTTGATAACCAGATATTATCTGCGCCAGGAGTGGGCATTGCAAGGCTTTGGCACCGCATTACGAGGAGGCCGCTACCGCTTTGAAGGCGAAGAACATCAAGATCGCCAAGGTTGACTGTGTCGCAGAACCAAGCTTCTGTGAGGCCCATGAAGTCCAGGGATACCCGTACGTGGCAGAATACTTCCGCTTGCAACGCTAGAATCTAACAAGGCTCATACTGTCCTCGCATCCTCAACAGAACGCTGAAAGTCTTTCGTTATGGTTCCCGGGTTGACGGTTATCCTGGGACACCTCAGGCTGATAGCATCATAAATTACATGGTCGAGTAAGCCCTCCAATCTTGCTACCGCATTCGTGGGTAGTACTGACCCGCCTCCCCCAAGGCAATCCCTCCCCGCAGTCTCCGAAGTCACCACCGCCAACCACGAAGAATTCAAGAACGCTTCTAACAATAGCAGGGTCGTTGTTACCATTGCCTACGTCGCCTCCTCGACAGAGAGCCCTGCAGTGGAATTCAGTGCCGTCGCTGAGAAACACCGCGACCGTAGTGCCTATGTCTTCGGTCTTTCTACTGATGAAGACGCCATTGATGCGGCGGGCGTGACGCCACCAGCTATCGTGGTATACCGCAGCTTCGACGAGCCCAAGACCGTATACCCTGGCCTCCCTATCTCCGCAGTCTCAAACCCTGAATTGGAGGAATGGATTTCTAGCCTCTCCGTCCCCGTCATCGACGAAATAAGCGCAGAAAACTACGCCGTATACATCAACAGCCCCAAACCCCTTGCCTATCTCTTCCTTGATCCCTCTTCCCCCGACAAAGAAGTATACATCGAAGCGATCCGGCCCGTAGCTCAACAATACAAACCCCAGGTCAACTTCGTCTGGATCGATGCTGTCAAGTTCGTCACGCATGCCAAGGCATTGAATCTCAAGGATGTCAAGTGGCCCGCCTTCGTTATCCAAGACTTGGGCAGGAAGCATTTGGCATATCCTCTGGATCAAAGCATGGACGTCACACCTGAGGCTGTGGGTAACTGGTTGCAGCAATTCCTCGATGGCAAGCTCGAACCCATGCTGAGGAGTGCGCCCATCCCGGAGACTCAGTATGGACCTGTCTCCACAGTTGTTGGCAAGCAATTCAACGAGATTGTCCTGGATGACTCCAAGGACGTCTTCGTTGAGTTTTACACTACTTGGTGCGCGTAGCTTTGACTCATGACCACTCATGGGAACTAATGCTTCCATTAAGGTGCGGACACTGCAAACGGTTGAAACCTATATGGGACTCCCTAGGGGAGAAGTACGCTCCCCTCAAGGAGAAAATTACCATGTACGTACCTATACACGACTCTGCCCAGTAGCAACTCACTGACCCAATTTTCATCTGCGTCTCTAGTGCAAAAATGGAGCTATTAGCAAATGAACTACCACCTTCTGCCCCCTTCCGTGTCTCCAGTGTCCCGGCCCTCAAGTTCAAGCCTGCTGGATCGCGCGAATTCATTGATTATGATGGCCACCGCACCCTCGAGGACTTCATTGCTTTCGTTAAGGAGCACGCGAGGAATAACCTTGAGACGCCGGTCGTTCCTACCGAGGGCGAAGGAGTTGGGCAGATACCATTGGGTGCTGAGACCCGGTGAGATGACCGCCAATTCAGAGCGAATGTCGTCGAGCGGGTGTAGCCGCTGGCGGCGTGTACTCGGACGTTTAGACATACCTATACCCTGCGCGTATAACTCTTTTTTGCTGGCGCTGTTGCAAAGGAGCCAAATACGATCCCCATACCATAGTACAATCGAAAGGTTGGGATCCGCTAGCGTAGACGGGGGCATCGTATTCCAGGCAAAGTCCACGTCAGTTCTCTCACCACGTACCTTCCATCGATATCTTCTCGTAGGGTAGTTAAGGGCGTCGTTCGCAGTGAGTGCAAAGCTAGGAAGGGGCATTGACGTTAGGGGTGTTAGGGCCGCTGCAGCTAGAGGGACAGCGGAAAATGCAGCGGTGATACTGGCGACACTCGAAGATTTGAATTTGAGGCCTCGGCGAAAGCGGTGGTGATTGTCTGGGCAGGAATACATGTTGGAACGCGAATTCTGTGGATGAGGAAGGCGAGACAAATCAAAAACAATAGAACAATCAATCGGTCTCTGATAGTAGCTGAGAAATCATTAGAGACGTAGGCTGTCGGTCGCGTAGAAGAGAGAAAATTCATATGTCCATGAACAAATTTACCAAGTAAAAGCGTTCTACACGGAGAGCGGTGCCCCGGTAGTACACAAGATACAATTATGACCCAACTATTAGCATTACGTCAATTCAGACCAAGAAATAGAGCTATCCTCCCACCCCCTTATTGATATCACAGTGCCACGAAGGCAGCAAGACCGAACGAAACAGCGGTGCCGAAGTAAGAAAAGGATTTCCAACTGACGACACCACCGTTGTTTTGACCAGAGGAACCACTAGCGCCCTCAAGGAGATTGGGGCATTGGGGTGCATTCAACACGTTGCCATAGTGGCTAGCAACCCATAGGGCGACACCGTTCGTCCAGCCAAAGCCAGCCTATTCATGTCCTTTAGTCATCTCAAGATTTTAAAGACTGTAATACAGTACCTGGACTACATACTCTCCTCCGCGACCTGCAGAGTCAATGTCAAGATTAGAGAATTTCTCGAACATCTATGGTGTCAAGTGTTAGCAGCTGGTATTAGCGACATTTTCAGTGTCCCACTTACGTTGCCAGTGTTTGTGAGGCTCTGGGTAACGTTCAACTCAGCGTCCGACAGCCTAGGTACAAGACCGGGTACCTCGCCTCCGGTGGCACGCCTGATAATCAGCTAGTAAATACCGCTCCTCTAACCCATGAAATAAACGTACCAGCTGCAAAATGCACTAGTTATGTATCTGTTCGCCAGTTCTCTTTGAAGAATCTGCGCCCAGCCTTCACCTTGGGTTGCATTCCCGCCGTTAACAACAGACCCATCAAGCCTGTTCAAGTCTGCTTGCGCCCCAGTCAATGTTGCATTTTGTGTCTGATTAGTCTGTTCGTGTAATGGTTGCCCAGGAAGCTGGTTTTCCTCGAGACCAATTTGGCCCCGAGGAACCAAAGTGAACGACGACTGATCGGAGGCTGGCGAGGCGATAGCGCCAGATGTGAGATTGGAAGGGAGATTACGGAGAGCTTGCAAGATGATGTATTGATGCGGAGGCCATGCGTTCGGCGCGTCCCTATAAATAGTGTCAACCATGTCCCAGCGTCCAGGGACAATGACATACCACTGCAAACCGGTATCCAAGAAAGTTGAGGGGTAGGTACCGTTGTAGCGATTCATGACCATATTGACAGTGGAAAAGGCCCCAAAAGCATTTTCGGGTGAGCGTAATAGATCGTCAGGAATTATACCAGCCCACAGAGGGTAGAAGTGGGCCGCAGAGAAGAAATCACTTTGAGTATTCGACGTGAGATTGAAATCGTAGAAGGCGAGTTTCGTGGCATTCCAACACAAGTCCAAGATACCTTCCCTCAGGTTGGTAGCAGCGGTGCGGTGACGGGTTGCAGCGGCTGTGTCGGCCTGAGAGTAGAGATCAGCGAGGATAGTATGGGCTTGATCTATTGGATTCAACGTAAGTCAGATCTTCGTTGCTAGCGGAGGGTGACGTACACAGGATGCTGTTCAGGTCAATAGCAATAGTGCCTCGAACATTGAGGGTACGCAGGCCAGCATCACCATGGGTGTTTGGCTCTCTTAACCAACGAGCAGTGTAATCCCATCCGGTTTCGGCACCGCTGGCAAGCTCGGCGTAGAGATTGGCACGTTGACTCTCATTCAAGGCCGGTAACTCGGGGGTATTGGCGGTGATGTAATCTGGATCGGACAGTGAGATCTAACATTAGACCAGGGATGCCAAGAATACTCACCAACGATGTACGACTCTGGACGAGGAGCCGTGTTGTTAACGTTGTAGTGTGACATTGTGTGAATACGCCCAGTGGTAGGGCTAGTGACGTTCACTGATCGGTTTTCTTGCCACCAAGTGAGTTCTCTCTGTTAGATTGGTTAGTAAGAGCACCTGGTACCCCCGAGAATGTTCCCTTACCTCCGCCAAAGGTAGAGCGCGCGCTAAGATCGATGTATCTCCCGAAGCGGTAATGTAACGTTCGAGCATCTGGAAAACGGGCTAAGTCCCCAGAAACAGACGCTCAAGGCATGCTTTGAGAGTCTTACATGAATAAAGACCGGTGGCTGAGAGCGGTTAAGGTCTGTCCGGATAATGTCAGCGAGTCTGCAGAAACACGAGAAAGTACACTAACAATAGGTGCGGCCGCCATTGGGAATGAATCCGATGGTTTCAATTTCGTCCATGAAGTTCTGAAGTGTCGCGTTAACCACCTCGAATAGCTCCGACTCAATGAGGCCTTCGACAATCCAGAAGCTGTCCCAATAGTATTGTTCACGGAAGCGACCACCTAATATGACGTTAGCATCGAATCATATGTCCTAGAAAACATCATGACATGCCTGGCACAACAAAGGTGTGGTTCAACGGAATCAAAGAGCTCTCGCAAGTCGCACTTGGGCCCTGGCCACATATCTGCGTTTCGTTCGTACCTCGAGTGAGAGAATTCCAGTAGGTATGGACGATCTGCGTCCAACTCCTGACCACAGGGTTTGTAACATTATTCAAGAATGCTGGGCTGTCTTTGAAGCCAGGTAGGGTAAGAGCTTGTAGTTCAAGGCCCTCCCCCCGGAAAGCATCGTTGACAAAGTTCGTAATTTCCCCAAAGGTCGGCGTAGAGCTGAGATTAGCAAACTCATTAAGAACTTCCTGGGACCGCTTGCTCGTGGGCTATTTGAGGAAGCGCGGTTCGTAAGCTCCATTCTGCACGTGTAACTTAATACGGCACGCCCACCTTGTCAACAAAGGTTTTCGCATCCGGGAACAGGCCAGCAAGGTTGACGGTTTGAAGTAACTTCAAATCACGTGGTCAATACGCGACTTCTGAGGAATTTCGAAATGGATTCCAGAATCCACACACCTCTCCAGCACAAAAGATCTCACCTGAGGAAGTTGTGGTTCGCGTTAATCTCTTGGGATCTCAACCACAGTCCAACTTCACTTACCAGGGCACCATGCTTGCCTTGGTGGCAGCTGGACTTGAGAGGGTAGGCTAGCGCCTGACGAGGCAGTCGGGCTGGCGACCGCGGTGGAAATGGGCAATGACAAGCTCGTCGCAGACTGTCCTGGCGCCGTCGCGGATGAAGTTTGTGCAAGGGCTCCATGGGTAGTCAATGCGACCAACGTCGCCGCCAACGAAGTCAGCATTCTTCTCGGGCTCGGAGGGCGTCCACAAAGCTGGCAGGAGGGCGAGAATCAGTCGACCTCGATGTAATGGGCCAAGTGGTTGAGAGAAGTCGACCTCGCACGAGGTCGAAATTTATATCAGCTTCGGCGTTCTGTCCGCAATTAGAACGTCCATCAGACCGGAGCCATCACTCGGCGCAGAGGTGGATTCGAAGGCGCGTTTCTGGTCACAAGTTCGCTGTGAAAGTCGTCGACATCAATGTGGTTTATGCCAATGGGGATCCGACGCGAAAGCTTGACAGCAGCAATACACGTTGGGGTGGGAACACAGCGACAACCCCGCATTCCCGGTCTAGGTGGTACTCCACTACAAGCAAGACAGATGAAAACTACCGGCGGCGTCGTGTGTCTTGCGAATATGAAACGCTGAAACAGTTGCTGTCCCAGGCTGTCCCGGATCTCTAGAAAATCGGGATTGCTTGGCGTCACGATCACATGTTCAACCAAAACATATTGTCCAAGAATCCAAGTTGAAGTGAGTGTCGTATGCCGTGGAAGGATATATGTATAGCAGAGTTGACGCAGGGACGGCGGTGGCGATACAGGAGATTGATCATGTAGGAGGCGTCACGAGAGGAAGCCGGTCGTCGAACTTTGCGCCTGTTACCTATGCTTCAAGCATGACGAGCGTGAAAACACTGGTGTCTAGCATATGCGCGAAATGGAGCTGTTGTAGTGCTTCTCAGCTGTGACTCTTACAGTAACTACTCCACTTTGACTGTTGACACCTTCATTTTTCAGTCCTTCAACACCGAAGCAGAAACACGGACATATACCAGCTGTATCGGCAACCAACAATAGGCCCGCCTATATGAAACAGAGACATACATCTCTTCCAGCTGTGTGCCCATAGTGCTGCCCGCAGGATTGGTTGTAGATTTGGGACCCTATCAACTCCTAGCCCCTGAAGTGGGCCAAAACCCGGTAACCCGGAAGGACTGAAATCCGAAAGTCAGTTACCCCGCAATGCGGGGTATGGTCAACATTGAATTACCTCCACCATGCACTTCAATGCCCTCTCTGTATTAGCGTTCGCTGCAGCGAGTAACGCCGTGATCCTAGACTCAGCAAAGGTCATCGGAACATCAACCGGTCGAATCACTAAATACCTTGGCATCCCGTACGCTAAACCACCGTGGGTGTATTCCGTACTTGTGTGGAGAACTGTTGTACCCACCGGCAGCCTCGCCCTTGATCTCGCCCAGCATCGGAGACCGTCGCCTGAGGCTTCCGGAACCGAACAGCCCGTACTTTGGTGTTTTGGATGCGACTGTCTACGGACCAGCATGCCCTCAACATAGGCCCGGAGGCTTCCCCATACCAACTGCTGTCGGGAGCGATGTCCTTGACCTCTTTGTGAATACAAGCGCCAAGTATCTAGCGGAAGGTAGAGCGCGGTGGATTGATGCAATCCCCGATTCAGGTCCTGAGAATGAAAACTGTAAACTTGTAGCTATTCGCGGAAGTTCGATCATGACTGACTCGCCCAATTTGAAGGCCTCTCTATCAATGTGCAAGTGCCATCCGAAGCGACATCATCTTCAAGACTCCCGGTACTTGTGGTATGTTCTCATCGCATCCTTTGTTCTCTGTCAATGAACTCCTTTGACAGTGGATATACGGTGGTAAATGAACCCTGGTCGCTATATATCGTCAATGTTAACGCTACTCCTCTAGGTGGTTTCGAGGCTGGTACCACTAGAATGTACGCGTCGCACCTGTATATCTTGCATTCCCTTTGTGATCCCCTCGCGCAGGTACAACGGTGGTCCAATAGTAGAGAGATCCATCGATTTGGGGGAGCCAATTATCTACGTCAGCATGAACTACAGGTATGGTTGAAACTGTCCCGCAATACATGCCGCTGATGCTAAGCACCAATAGGCTAAATGGTACGTCATTTCAGATGCTGTGAAACGTTCCACTACATACGTCCGTAGCCTTCGGATTTCTGGCAGGCAAGGAAATTAGGGACGCTAAAGTTGGGAATCTTGGGCTACACGATCGTGAGTAAGATTAACCTACGTCTACGTTCTCCCTCGAGACTCGGCTGTAGAGCGCGAAGCCTTTCGCTGGGTGCAAAAGTACATTGCCAAGTGTGTACCCTCGCCGTTCAACGATCTTTTTTTGCTTACTGGATATAGCTTTGGTGGAGATCCTCAGAAAGTCACCATGTGAGTCTACGGTAGTCTCATCCTACTATCGGCCGCTGACCGTCTCTTGCTGCAGTTGGGGTGAGAGCGCCGGGGCAATCTCGGTTTCTCTCCATATGTTGACCAACGGTGGGAACACTAATGGACTCTTCCGTGGCGCGTTCATGCAATCCGGAGCGCCGATACCTGTTGGTGATCATAGTGTCGGACAGAAGGCATACGACGCGATTGTCACCGGCACCGGTTGTACTGGGGCTCCTGACACCTTGTCCTGCTTGCGAAAAGTGTCCTACGGCGCGTTCAAGGCCGCCGTAGCGAACACGCCATACATCTTCTCGTATCAGGTAACTATCCCACTCGTAGAATGGAAGGTCTTATGGCTCACCATTCAACGCCTTATGCTAGTCGTTGATCCAACCGTATCCTCCTCGTGTGGATGGAGTATTCTTGACCGATCACCCGCAACAACTGGTCAAGAAGGGATCGGTCGCCGACGTGCCTTTCGTAACGGGAGGTTGTGATGACGAAGCTACAATGTTTTCACTTTCGACTCTGAACGTCACGTAAGTTTCTCCTGGAATGATGTATTTTGCTGGAATTTTACTCTTGTACGCTCAGCACTTCAAAGGAGTTTAAAGAGTATATCAAAACATTGTGGCTGCCGAAAGCATCGAGATATCATCTCAACAAGATCATGAAACTTTATCCCGATGACGTGGAACAAGGCTCCCCATACGACACTGGAAGTCTGAACGCATTGAGCCCTCAGTTCAAGCGGTTTGCCTCTTTCCAAGGTGACGCTATCTTCCAAGGCCCACGCCGCTATTTCCTCCAACAAAGGGCTGGAAGACAGAATACTTGGTCATACAGTATGTCTCACTTCATCGGAGTACCTGCCGGACTGACTTTGATCTTGGGTTCAATTCCAAATCTTAAGTCACTAAAAGGTTGAAGTGGCTCCCGTTCCTGGGATCGGTGAGCCTTTCAATTATACTATGATACTTGTCGCTTAAACTCGCGAACTTGACTTCGGCTCAGTTCCACCTCTCGGATTTGATGTACACATACTCGAGCGGCGAGCTTCAAGACTACTTGATCCATTTCGTGAATTCCCTCGACCCCAATGGAGATGTCGCCCAATGGCCAGAATACACCCCATCATCGCCGAATTTGTTGACGTTTGAAGACGACTTGGCTGGGCGACCAACGCTAACGAAGGACACATTCAGGGGCAAGGCGATTGAACTACTCACCCAACTCTTATTGGAAAATCCTGTTTAAGCCCTCGTATTGTTCCACCCGTATACCAATACACGTCCAAACGTTTCCCGGTGTGGAGCACCTCCAATACCAACAATGGGCGCGATGTAGTTCGGATTTATATCAAATCCCGCTTCTTCAGGAAGTTTATCCGACCTGTGTGCTCAATGACCCAGGTGTAGAGCCAATTGTCCGAGACATTCTCCCACTCAGCGAGGACATATGACCAAAGAACAATCCCTGTGATATCATACTCTCAATACAACCAAGACGGTGCAATTTTGTCGCCGTTGTCGCTTTAACATGAGATTTCCTGGAATTCTTGCCGGGGAGCCATATATCCGCAAAATATAGTCTACTGGCCAGCGAGGATGCTATCAAGTCTATATGTTTTGTTCAGATACACTCCACACGTGAGGTGCGTCCACATGCAAACTCTTCAGGGCTGCCCCGCACTTCGCTCATGGCTTCCCGCGCTTGGAACATTCAACGATGATCCAACGGCTGGTTAAAGTGGCGATCATGAATTACCTTGTCCAAGAACCCGAAGCTTCGCACCTTCTGTTGCAATTTGGCGATCTATCGATCATCGTCTCTCTAGGCTGAGGAGTTCATAAATCGTGGAGGCAGATAATTGCTGAAGATACAGCGCAACGCTACTAGCGTGGCTCTTGTCAGAATGATGCACCAATCAAGACTATTAAAGACTGCCAACCTCTTGACTTCCCTCGGGAGCTGAAAACACTGACATATAGATTCTCTAGATCCCACCAGATACCCGGCTCTTGCTTCCTCTTTGCCGGTCTTGTTCTCAGGACGAGCTAAAGCTAGCAACCGGCGTAACTCTGCGCAATTCTTGAGTGAACACTGGACGCTACCCCGCATTACCCCGGAATCGCGCAAGGGACCATCTTGCCTGCCCAGGAACGTCAGTAGAGCACCCTACACACCATGCGGTGCACATTTCGTGAATGGTTCGCTATCAATATCCATCTTCTGAACCTGTCACCCTTCAGCAATATTCACTGGGACTCAATCGCGTGATGTCGTAAGATGGCTTCCCAAGAACCAACTAGCGTCAAACCTCCACTTTCCTTTTTGAAACCACTGTGTTGCACAAAAGATATATAATGCAGATGCTGTTGCGTCTAGAAGTACAACCACCGCCTGGTCGACATTGCCATGTTCTTCGTTCTACAGGTCGTGCTTGGGCTCTTCGCCATTCAAATCACCGCAACCCCTCTCCCAAGGGCAAACAGCGTAACCCTTGACTCTGCGACCTTCACCGGCACTACCTCAGGTCGCGTCACCAAGTTTCTCGGTATTCCTTACGCCCAACCCCCGTAAGCCATATAAACCAGCTTGTAGACGGTACCCATATACTCATTGACGCGTTATAGTACGGGAGACCGCCGGTTCAGGCTACCAGAGCCCATTCCACCGTACACAGGAACAGTCCGGGCGACAGCATTCGGCCCTGCGTGTCCTCAGCAAAGCGTGCGCCTTCCCTTGCCCGACGGCCTGGCTAGTGACGCGGTTGACTTGATCGTCAATACGGCATATAAAGCTGTCTTTCCAGACAGTGAGGATTGTGGGTTGCGCGTTCGTTCGGTAGTGGACGCGATCTGAAACCTGAAATTCACCACTCGCAGGTCTCTCGATCAATGTTGTGGTGCCCACAAGTGCAACACCAACGTCCAAGCTTCCCGTGGTAGCAGTGCGTTTCAATCTTCTTTATGCTTGGTGACGAAACTGAACCCGGATGCGAAGTGGATTTTTGGTGGTATGTCCGATTTGGTAGTGACCTGCGTTGGTACTAATCAGTGATTACCGCATCAGGTGGTTTCGAACTGGGCAGCCCCAGTCTGTGAGTGACATTCCGAGAGACTTCCACACTAGCGGATTCTCATCATATGCTCCGCACCAATCAGGTATGATGGTGGTCTGATAGTCGAGCGATCCATACAGCTTGGCGAGCCAGTCATCTACGTGAGCATGAACTACAGGTATGATCCTTCCTGTCACTGTACCGTTCTAGCTCTGACATCGACTGAATTAGAATAAGCGGTGAGTCTCACTCGTACTTGACGCAGACGTACCCTAATTACGTCGTCCGCTCTAAGCTTTCGGCTTTTTGGCAAGCCAGGAGGTTAAAGACGCTGGTGTTGGGAATCTTGGGCTCCAAGACCGTGAGTACTGCCTCCTGTCCCATCCCTTTCTTCCCCTAAACCGACTATCGCAGAGCGCGAAGCATTACGATGGGTCCAGAAATACATCAGCAGGTGAGTTTCCTCCGTGTGGGATTGTCGCGAAAATTGGCTTAGTTTCTCCACAGCTTCGGAGGCGACCCGACCAAAGTTACTATGTAAGTGCATAGTACATAACACAACAAAAGCTTCTTCTCGGCTGATATAACATTTAAAGTTGGGGTGAGAGTGCCGGTGCTATTTCGGTGGCGCTGCATATGGTAGCGAATAACGGGAACCACGAGGGCCTCTTCCGTGGTGCTTTCATGCAGTCTGGATCACCCATCCCCGTGGGAGACATCTCACACGGCCAGACGTACTATGATGCCATCGTAGCCGAGACGGGCTGTTCCAGTGCATCTGACACCTTGGCATGCTTGCGCTCGGTTCCGTATTCTACGTTGAAAACTGCGACTGACAACACCCCCTTCATATTCGACTACCAAGTGAGTCTCCATGCCGTTGCCAGAACCTCATACTCATCATTATTCAGTCACTCGCCCTTGCGTGGATTCCCAGAGCCGATGGTGTCTTCCTCACGGATAACCCACAGAAACTTGTCCAGGCTGGCAAAGTGGCGAATGTACCGTTCATAACCGGCGATTGCGACGACGAGGGCACCTTGTTCTCATTGTCGACCCTCAACGTCACGTATGCCTCCCCTCTGTTGCTTGGTGTCCTGTGACTGATGCCTTGTTTAGTACCACTACTCAGTTCCGGACGTATATTAAGACATTCTTTATGCCCCAATCGACAAATGCGGAACTGGATCAAATGTTGACCCATTATCCATCGGACATCACCCAAGGCTCTCCGTTCGGCACAGGCATTTTGAATGCTTTGACCCCGCAGTTCAAGAGGCTCGCTGCATTCCAAGGGGACGCTGTATTCCAAGCGCCTCGGCGATTCTTCCTACAACAGCGGTCTGGCAAACAGAATACGTGGGCCTTCCGTACGTTGATGCCAACCCAAACACTAGAGGTTGCCTGACTTTAAGTGATTCTTTCTAGTTAGCAAGCGATTCAAGGTGTCGCCTTTCCTGGGATCTGTAAGTCTCCCTTTTGCTACAGTTGAAAGGGTGCTTAAAACTTCTCGTTGTAGTTCCATGCAACCGACATTCTCAATGTGTACTTCGGTGGTGAAATGGGCGACTATCTGATCAACTTTGTGAACAACCTCGATCCGAACGGTCAAGGGCGTGGAATCAACTGGCCCAAGTACACGACGTCGTCGCCCAACCTAGTCACATTCAACGACGACCTTATCTTCCCTATAACAATTACCCAGGACACTTTCAGAAAGGACGCGATCAACTTTTTGACCGGGGTAACTCTTGCCAACCCACTATGAGGCGAGCTCCAAAGCTTGGATATGTATGATTTGTGTTCTTCAACTCTATGTGTATTATTATTCGCGGTCGTGGTGTTGTTGTTGTTGTTTCGCAGTGATATAATGTTAAGAGGAGATGATTACGGTCGTACAGTAGGTGTATGTGTGGGGTCGTCTACTATCATGTCTATCAATCTACACCTGGAAGATCCTCCACTGGACGAGGTTTCTCTTCCGTGAATTCTTCTATTCTCGAAGCGTCGTCAACCGCAGGAGCCTGCTTCTCCTCAAACTGAGGTTTGTTCATATCGACCTCACCCATAGGAATAAAATGCGAGCCTTCCGCGACGACAGACATATGGAAATCATTAAGTGTTAGTGGTCGTAATTTAAAGCCCTGAAATGCCGATACGTTCCTTAGCGGAGAGCAGCATCGTGATGCCAAAGGATCTCACCTCTAGTTGACTTTGTTCGAGCAAAGAAGAGTTGTCTCCAGCGTTTCTGACGAACTCGCGTACAGGCATCATGGCTGCATTACGACAAAGCTCTTTGAGGTCAGACCCCGACAGCCCTTCAGTAATTTGGGCCAACATCGGTAAGGGGAAATCGGGTGCTAATGGCGTATCTTTGAGCATCTAGACATATTGAAATCGCCGTCAGAAGATAAAGGGGAGGGGGTGGATGGTGTATGAAGGATAGATACCAGCTGGAGAATTTTTGTCCGTTGGACCGTGCTAGGGAGCCCGACCGCAAATCGTTTTGGCATTCGGCGGAGAATCGCCGCATCAATGTCGTTAGGTCTGTTGGTAGCGCCAAGGACGAGGATCCTGTCCGTGGCAGATAGAAGTCCGTCCCATAGTCTTTCAAACAAATCTTCAATGATCTGCTACTCCCGAGCCGGGGAACCAAACGACTCACGTCATGAACTCGGCTTTCATCATCCCAGTGACTTCATGATCGCCTTTCGTCCGCTCTCTTAGGAAGGAGTCTATCTCGTCAATGAATATGATACTCGGCTGAGTTTTTCGGGCCAAACTGAAGAGACCGGCGACGAGTTTGTTGCTCTCCCCGAACCATTTATTGGTCAACACGGATGCGGCGATGTTGATAAAGGTAGCGCCCGATTCTTTGGCCAATGCTTTGGCGAGCATAGTCTTCCCGCAGCCAGGTGGGCCATAAAGGAGCGCGCCCTTTGGCGCACTAAGTAGCGAAGATGATCCCGAGAAGAGCTTCGGGTAGAGAAGAGGGTAAATAACGGACTCCCTCAGCGAAGATATTATTGGTTCCAGCCCACCAATGTCTGGGACGAGTGAGATTGAGTTATACCGGTTAAGTGACAGAGAGACGCACCAGAAAACCTAACATTGATATCGTCGGGGTGAATGACTTCGTTTGCGACGGTGCCTAACAAGCCATTTTTTGGAACCGCGTCTATGACAAGGCAACTTCAAGCTCACGTTCGTACTCGTCAAGTTTGAGGTTTATATGACCCAGCCGCTTCAGTGCTTCAAGTTGCTTCGCATTAACCTCTTCCTTTTTGTGCGGAGATAGGCCCTCAAATACCCACTGAGTAGTGGTTCAGCCAGTAATCTACCCGATGGTGGCGCACCACTTACTCGCATAGTATAGTACAAGGCTGCCTTGCGTGTAATCGTAAGGACTCAGGTTTGATATCCAGAAAGAATGCAGTAAAGGGCTACGCACTTGAGACGCAAGAAAAAGAGCGACTTTGAGGTTGATTCTGTCAGTATTGGATCCTCCAAAGAGATTTCCTAAGACGTACCATCTAAAACAACTCGTTTCGTGGTGGTAGAGGCCATGTTTATGGTCTTTCGGAAAGGCGGTAAATAGACGCCCACTAAAACTTGCCTTCCGGTCAGGTGATCATTCGAGCTATTGCTATTCGACGCCGTCTCTTGTTCGAATTTTTTTTTTTTTTTTTTTTTTTTTGGTGGAGCGTTTTATTTGGACTGCGTCCAAGTTGCCTTATGGACCCGTCGTATAGTCAGGTCCGTTTGGCCCGCTAAGGTGCCAGTTAGCAACTGGCTATATTTAATATATCACCGCGAGGAAATGCTTTATGCACTGCGTGTGGGACTCTGACGGACCGGTTCATCCGTTTTCTTGATGAGTTTGAAGGTCGCTACCCACTAAAACCCCGCCTGAGTCTATCCAGTTTTTCGGTAGTGAAATTTCGTTCAGGAGGACCCCTCTCCATGTTTCCAAAACTGTCTTGGTCTTCAGGGCCTTTTTCTTGTAGCGTTTGTGGGACATCTTTCTATCCAGATCTAGTCTTTCGTTTATCATGCTGTTCCATTTATTTCTTACTTCTCTTTGTGAGATTGGTCGGTTTTCATCCTGGATGACTCTGGTACAGCGTAGTTTCCAGATCAGGTAAGCTGATTCCGCGATTAGGATTCGCCAGAATCTCATGTCCCCTCGTTGTAGTTTCCCTTCCTCGTTTTTTATGGGCTTATTTCCGCACCCTAGAATGTCGCCAATCTTTGGTTGGCTCCAGGCGTATCCCTTCTTTTCCCATAGCCCTTTTGCAAGCCTCCAGATTTCTGCTTGTCCCGGGGTTTCGCATTGGGTTAGGATATGGGACATGTCCTCGACCTCTCCGTTGCAGTGGGGGCACACTCCCCTTTCCGTGTAGTCTCCTCCGACTGTGTTTGTCCAGTACCTGCCTACCTTATACGCATCGTGGATTGACATCCATAGGAAGAAGCGGGTTTGTCTGGACAGGTCTTTACTTTTCGCTTCTTTCCATATTTGGTTTTCGTTCGGGGCTGTACCACAGGAGTCGGCGAGGTGGTCCTGGATTGTCGATAGCATTTGTGCCGTCTTTTCTTGTTTATGTTTGGCTTTTGTTAATTCGATTTCTCTTATCCCTTTATAGGCTAGCGTCTGGTTTAGGCTTTGGAGTTTCGCGCCTGATATGCTGCCTCGCTGGTTTACTTCCTGCGCTGCAAACTCAGTCGCTTCCTGATCGCAACCCTGGCTTGCTAGGTTGTCCGCTCCTTCGTTCAGTAGGTCTCCTTGGTGTCCCTTAACCCACTTGAAGTGAGTTTTGCCCCGCCTGTTCCTTAGGGCCGCAACAGTTTGTCTTACTAAGTCTTTGTTCGCTACCCCGATGAAGCCTCTGTCCTCGTTCTTCTCCAGGTTGGAGGTAAGCGCTTTTATTACGTATTTAGAGTCCGATAGAATTTCTAGGGTCTCGTCTCCGGGGAAAAGTTTTACTGCTTCCAGGGCTGCGTACATTTCCCCCACTTGGTTCGTCTGTAACAGGTCATTTGGGACGCGGAGAGCTCTGTTCCTCTCATTATCCAGGCCGAGGAATATTCCCGCTCCTGCTTTGGCATTTATGGTGTTTGCCTCTTGGCACGAGCCGTCTGTTGCCAGTCTTATTTTCTCGCCTTCGACGTTGGTGAGAGTTTGGGCTTCGAGGTTTTTTCCTCCGTATGTGAAGATTCTGAAAATGTCTTTTAGTTCTACTGTGGCGATCTTTTTTCCTTGGAATGGCAGCCATCCTTCGACTTCTTCTCCTTCTACGACCTGGTCTTCCCCCATTTTTCTTGTGTCCCATAGGTCTGGGAGGGTTGCTAGTATTTCGCCTGCTCGCACGTAGCATGCGTGAGGGTTTTCGCATCCTGTCGTGTCCCTAATTGCTTTGCAGTGGTGGCATCTGCAGTTTCTCCTTGGTTTGTGGTTCTCTATGTTTTTCTTTGTTTCTAGTGTGATCATCTCGCCTACTGTCCTGATTTTGTGTTTTGTCCTTAGGCACTCTGTTACCCTTGGTTTTGTCCTTGGTAACCCTCGTTCCGTAGCTTCTGCGTGGAACCATATCGGCATCTGGCCAGCTACCGACTTCGATACTCTTCGAACTTCGATCCTTGTACCGTATTTTTTCGCGATTTTTAGCATTTTTGTGAGTTCTTTTGGGTTCTTATTACTTCCGTGACCCTGGTATGATTTCCAGCTTTGCAGGAAGCAGTTCTGTCTTACTTCCTCCGGTATCCTGTCAGTGCTTTTAGGGATATTTGTTGCCAGGATGCCCTCCGCGAAACGTGCCCAGGTCGGTCTTTCCGCATCTAGCTGAAGATATGACTTGAGTTTCATTATTTCGATCGCCTCGTTCCTTGCTCTGATGTCCAGGAGTTCTTTCCCCCCCTCCATTTGTGGGGCGTGGAGGGTTTCTTCTTTTACTGGGGACTTTTTGTCTCCCCATACGAAGGTGCGGGTCAGCTTCTGTAGGTATTTTTCAATTTGTTCTGGCATCCCTTGAACCTTCGTCAGGTACTGGGTTCTGCCTCCGATTATAAATTGGGTTATCATTTTCCGTCCTTCCAGTGTTGGGCGGCTTCTATCCCATCGTGACAGGTCGGATTCGATTTTCTCGATTATAGTCGTCCATGGTTGGAGTTCATTGGTCTCGTTGCCCATCCATGCTCCTAGCATCCGGATCATTTCTCTTTCTTTTACTATTTTAATTCCTTCTGGGATTTGGTGTTGTTGGGAGGTACTTTTTCTGTTTCGGATAAATTCCTCTCTGTAGTGCTTCGTGCCAATTGGTAGAACTTGGGTTTTTAGGATGTTAAACTTAGCTCCCGAAGCCTTGCACCACTTGTTTAGGATTCCCTCCAGTACGTAGAAGTCGTCTAGGTCACTCATAAATACTGTTGTGTCGTCCGCGAACAGGACTGCTTTCAGTTTGTCTTTCGTTCCTGGTATTGGGACTCCTCGCAGCTCAGAGGTCCTCAGGGCGATGCTTAGCGGTTCAATTGCGAGGTCAAACAGTAGGCAAGATAGAGGGTCGCCTTGGCGCACTCCCCTTGTTACCTTGAACTTGTTGCTGAGACAGCCATTTATCATTACACTTGTCCCTGCGTGTTGGTATAACGATTTGACCGTGTTGATAAATTTGTCTGGTATGCGAAATTCTTTCAGCGTCCGCCAGAGGTAATCGTGCTCAATTTTGTCGTATGCTTTCTCCTGGTCTAGGGCTATTATGATTCCATTTTCTTCTCTTGCTTCGGCGTAGTTGATCACCATTTTTATTAGGTGGGTTTGGTCCACGATCTTGCGGCCTTTCACAAATCCTGCTTGACTCTCGTGCAGGAGATCACCTGCTACTTCGGCTAGGCGTATTGACATAATTTTCGTTAGGATTTTATAGTCTGTATTCAGCAAGGTCACCGGGCGGTAGTTTGCAATGTTGTTACGGTCGTTCTTTTTATAGATTGGGCACATCCATCCTTCGGCGAACTGAGAGTGTGTTATTAGGCCATGGGTACTTATATCGTTTAGGGTCTCCGTTATGATCCTTATGATCTTGGGGGCTCCCTCGTTCCCTTGGTCTTCAGCTTCCCTCTCTCCGTCTTTTACTAGCCTTTTCCAGAGTAAGTTTGTGGCTCCGTCCAAACCTGGCGCCGAGTTGTTATCCGATAGGCGAATGACTTGGGATACTTCATCCTCGGATATGTCTTTTTCGAGATCATTCCTTTGTCGGTTGTTTAGTTTGGAGGCGATACCTGAGAGGGCGTCCTGGATGCATATTTCCCTCTCCATCTCATCCCTCTCTTCTCTGCCATCTAATTGTAACTCGTCGTGGTACTTCTTCGCTAGGTCCGCCATTTTTGCGGATGCAGTGATTTCTTCGTTGCTTGGGCTGTTCGGGACTTTGAGCGAATATATAAAATCTCTCGGTTTAATTTCTTTATTTATTCGCATCCAGTAGCGGGAGTTGGTTTCACCCTCCAGTCGGTTCTTTATTTTACCTAATTCCCTGATTTTCTTATGTCTTTTCTTTTCTAGGTCAGCAATTTTGTCTGTTATCATTCTGGCCGTCATTCTACGTGATGAATCCTGAGAGCCGTCTATCGCGTGTAGGTCTTTCCTAAGGGTGGCGATCTCTCTAATGATTTTCGGCGTTAGTAATTTGTCTCTTCTTCTTGCACTGTTTAGGATTCTGCGTTTGAGGTCATTGTATATTTTCTGGGGGTTGTTTATGTTACTCCTTGGCTGGAGTTGGCCTTGTTGCAATTCTTCCCACGCCGTTGCAATGTACTTCCGGGCTACTTCCCGGAACACTTTGTCTTCTACTACTCTCTCCGGGATGCACCATCGGCCTTCTCCTTGGTACGGAGCATCCGCGTTTGTTATTTTTGCCGATACCATCCAGTGGTCTGTGTTATCGATGCCTGAGTGATTGATGTACCACTCGTCCGACTTCTCCAAGATTTGTTCGGTGGCGTAAATGCGGTCGATTCTCGATTTTGCTCCTCCGTTTGCTATTGGTTGGTGAAACGTAAAGGACTGTTTGTTCGGGCGGGTCTGTCTCCATCCATCTTGTAGGTTTAGGAGGGACTTTAGTTCCATGAGCTCTTCTGTCTGTTGTGGTGCGTCGTTGTGGCTCGGAATTCTATCGATGGCGTCTTCAACCATGTTGAAGTCCCCCATCATGACGTCTTCAACCATGTTGAAGTCCCCCATCATGACGTCTTCAACCATGTTGAAGTCCCCCATCATGATGTCTGGTTTTCTTATTCTCGGGTGATTCTCAAAGTACTCCCTGATTTTCCGCCAGAAGGATGTGTTGTCTCCTGTTTGGTTTGGAGCATATATTGTCAGTATTGTAAGCGTTTTGCGGCCTCCCCATTCGACTGAGGTAAGGATTGCGCGGCCTTGTATTATGATTTTGGATGACACGGTATCTGCTTTGATGTAGCTTTTGTTGAAGACGATCACCACTCCCGCTCTTTGGTGGGGGCTGGTGTTATCGCCGGAGGCTACTATGTGGAGGCGTTTTCCGAAGAGTTGTTGTACTGCTTCTCTCCTCGGCTCGTCCATGTGTGTTTCTTGGACAGCGAGGATTGCTAGTTTTTTGTCTCTCATCAGCTGGTTTATATGAGTCCATTTTTGGGGGGCGTTATCATGATGCTGGCCGTAGCCTTTTATGTTAAGAGAGGCGATGGTTATACCTGATCGCATTGGGGACTTCTTTTTCTTTTTCTTTTTTCGTCTCCGTTGTTGGGGCTCATCTGGCGTTTGCCTTTGAGTCTGAGGGGGGAGGGAGCCCCTTGAATCGTCTCGAGCGTCCCCCTGCGGGGTTGGGCTGCGAGGTCTGCCTGATTGGATCGGAAGGTTCAGTTCATCGGGAGGTCGGCGGGCAGCACCACCATCTCTCTCTTCCTGAACCTCCATAAAGCCTGGGGCTGGTCTGTTGGATTGTGTAATGTTCGCGGCTTGATGATACTAATGGACGCTAGCCGGGCGGTTCATCAGTTTGTTGGGTTTCGTGCGTTTGTCTTCTTGTTGTCGTCGGGCTTATCTTGTGAGGTACGGGGCGGCACGGGCGCCCTTAAGTTTGGCTTACCTGTCCAAGAATTCGTCAGTAAATTCAGCCATACTTTACCTTTGAGAGAGAAGACTTGAGGTGGGTGTCGTTAGATTGGGATATTGATAGAGCTTTTTCATTGACAGACGTGGCTACTACCAGACTCGGGCTAGTCCCTAGCTTTCCCTTTTCCTTTCCGCTCCTTCCTTGTCGCTCTCTTCCCTTCTTTCGACGATGACGTGTCTCTGGGCTCCGGGGTGAGCCTTTCCTTGGGGGGTTGCGGGCCAAGCCAGTCTTTTACTCTGGGTAGGGGGCAGTTGAGGTTGGTGTGGAGCTCCGACTTGCACCAGACGCAGCCGACTCGCGCTCTTTCCTGGATAAGTTCGGTTGTCGAGTCGATGAAAAAAGATACATGTCGTACGGCGCGTAACCACTCTCTGTGCTCCTTGTCGAGTTTTGTGAGTGGTTTCCCATGGAGTTGCCATACTGGGTCCTCGCGGTCCTCTTCGTCGCGTCTGTCGATGTATATTAGACTCAGGCCTGCGATTGCTACGTGTATCCTTTCTTCTGACGATTGGCCGACTCCTTCTTTGCTCAGGATCCTGTTTGCGAGCGAGCGTAGGCCGTTCAATTGGCAGATTTGCCTGCTTATTGCTGTGAGTGCCTCGGTCATCTTTTCGGGCCTATTCATCACTGGGCCCCCTTTGAAATTGCATACGATCCATGAGTTCTCCGAGAGGGGGATGTTTGAGCTTAAAAAAGCGAAATTCTCCCCGTTTCTCCTATAGGCGACCGTTTTTGTGTCAAGGAGGGTCTTTCTCAGCGAGGGTGATGGGTCCTTGAGGATCATCGCGAAGGGTCTTGCGAACCACGCTTTGTGTGGGGGGGCATCCTCCTGGACAGGGGCCGCTACCGAGTATTGTGTGCCGTCGTTGGCTAGTGCTGATACTAGGTCCGCTGTCGCTGTCGTGAGGACTCTGGCTTGTTCAAAAATTTTGTTGCCGGCTCCAAAGGGGATCAGCGCCATGTATGATTCGCTGTGTGCCTTGAGTTCCTCCGCCACCTCTTTCCTAACGTTACCGAAGATTGTTACTGATGAGAAGCAGACATCCGGGAAGGGTGCTTGGGTGATTGGCATGCTGCATTTCAGGATAGACGCAGCTGGGGGGGTAGGGATCGTTTCCGACCAGTGGGGGTTCTCCTCGGGTTTGAAGCCTATGACTTGTTCTGCGAAGGGGCTTCTTACTGTGGCGATTTGTCTGCGCGTCTCTCCTTCCCAAATTGTCCTTTGTTCTACCGTCCACTCGATGGAGAGCTTCATCGTAGACTGCCCCGTCGTAATCGTGGGCGGTTGGCATGGTACGTAGTCCTTCTTCTTCTTCTTAGGTCTGGAGTCCTCTTCTTTCCCGGGGTCTTTCCTGGTCGCTACAATCTCCAAGCCGGGTCGCGTGCGTGGGAGGGAGCCTCTTCCTCCACTGTCCCCGTTTGCTGTTGTCTTCGAGCCTGGTGAGTTATCTGTGTTTTCTCTCTTTCTTTTGCTTGTCATTTTCCCGTGGATCGTAGTCAGGTCGTGGGTGGCTTTCGAGTTTTCTGGGGGGGGTAGCCCTTTGTGAGGCCATGTCCACGTTGTGCTCGTTTGGCACGTGTTGTTATCTTAATCCGTTTCGTGTAAAAATTTTTGGAGATTCTAGGATATTATTGCCAGGGTAGAATGGGCTCGTAACGTACAGGAGAGTAAAAAATAGGCATAGTAAGGCAGAGGGTTGTAACGGTGCGTCTGGGTGTCTCTAGTTACTTCCTAATAGGGTTCTCCCCTGTTGTTTTGGTACATGTGACCACCGCATCCCCTGTAGCCTCTGCCACGTTGCCCTCTCGTTCCTCTGTTTCCTCTTCCTTGTCCCCCTCTGTGGCCTCCCTCTGTGGGGTGTCCCTCATCACTGCTCCTCTTATCCAATTTGGCCCATCTCGCTCGGACGTCGCTAGGTTTCGGGCCTTTCCATCCCTGGACCTTGGGGAAAGGGCATGCAACCTCCGGGTGGGACTCGTTTTTGCAGAAGTCGCATCACTCGAAGCCCCACGAGATGTCCACCGCAAATATTTTCCTGAGGACGAAATTCTTCGTATCCCTCAGAGCTTCTTCCCATCTCTTGTGTTTAGCTGGGTCGTCTGTGATGGGCTTCGCGGTGAGGTGCCAGAAATTCGCTTTGCCGTTGGATGTGTAGGTGATCGAAAGTGTCGATAATGCATCTTGGACTTTGTCGTCGGTTGTCAGCAAATTCGTCCCCGTCCTCTCAGCATAGCATTCCTGGACAGAAGTGCGGACTTTCTCGTTGTTTTTGATCTTGGCTTTGATCGCCGTGAGTCCTTCCTCCATCATCCTGCGGTCGTTTGTTACGCCGTCCCCGGTCAGGTATGCGACATGCCAGGATCGTACGTTCTTTTGTACTTTCAGTACTGTCAAGGCGTGGTTGGATTCTCCTGCCGCGAAATCAAAGACGCCTACACCTAGTAAGAAGTCCCGTAGTTCGGGGGAGAAACCGGATAGGATGAAGACCCAAGGTGGTTCGAAGTCTTTTTTGTACATCCTCAGTTTCTTCCCTTTTATGAAGGAGTCGGCGGCGGCTTTGACTACGGTGAGGTTGTCGCAGTTAGGAGCCCGGAATTCTTTGATGTATTCCAGGATCGTATCCCCTAGGTTTGGAAATTCCGCGTGAAGACGTCTTCCGGCTCCATAGGGCAGCAGGAAGAGGAAGTCCAGAGGGGATTTGAGCAGGTTGTCAAGGATTTCCACTCTGATGCTTTTGAAGAGATCGTCACTCGCGATTACCGTGTGGGGGAAGGGACCGCCGGCGTATCCTTTGCCAGGTCTAGGCGGGAGGGTCGTGAGCGGGACAACCGACGTCGTCTGTAAGTGTGGGTTTTCCGGTTGGTCGACCTGCATGATCCCGTCTTCTTCAGTGTTCTCCCCTGCTGCATGACCCATTTTGACGTCCTGGGGACCAGCTGTTTGTACTTGGGTTTGGTGGGTCGCGGACTGCACTAGCGGGACTGGGAGCTGCGCAAGGGAGGGTTGAGCCACGTGGGTTGCCTGTCCCAACGGGGCGGGGGGGCCCAAGGGTGGAGTGGAGGGGATATGCGCCACTGTGCCCTGGGGGGTGGGGGAAGGTCCTGCTGGGAGCGGGGGGGGTGGGATAGTTGGAGGGGGGGGGGCACTCTCATGGGTGTTTCCAGGGCCGGAGCGGGAATGGGGGGTGACTTGCTTCCCCTTTCCGCCTTGGGGTGTGGATTGTTTATTGGTTGTGCGCTGGGGGTTCCCTCCTTGGGGTGGAGCCTCTCCGTTGTCCTCTCCGTCCTTGTCTCTCCTCTGGTAAGGTGAGTACTGTCTTCCTCTCTTTTCTTCGGCAGCGCTACTCACTACTCTGTCCGCGCCCCCGTTCTTCCCTTTCTTGTTTGCTTTGGCTGCCTGCATTGCCACTGCTTGGGCCGGCGTGGGGTCTAGGGAGTTCATCGTAGGCTCGGAGGCCGTTTGGTCTGGGAGGATGAGGAGGTGCTCGGCATGGGACGACATTGGGTTGGTTGGATTCTGAGACTTATTGGGGTGCTTCTATGGTGGTGGTTTGGGCTCAGGACGGGTTCGTACATTTCCTGTTCTTTATACCCTCACTTTCTCCTGATGCCTTTGTCTCAGATTTCCCCGTGTCTGGGGGTCAGGTGATCGCGAGCGCGTATCGTGTCCGACTCCCTTTGCCACTCGTTCGTGGAGGTACGGGGCTGGCTTCTTCTACGGAGCTGGGGTTGGGCTTTGGTCGTTGTAGATTATGAGTGTCCGTCATCATGATATCCGTCGGGAATATCTTATGTTCGCTCGCGCGTGGACGTTGTCACCCCTCCTTGATTCAGGCTGGGATGGTTCTCTCTACTTATTAGTCTAATATGACTGTTGTATTTGCCAGTGCCGAGGATATACACTTAGCTGGCGTGTGTGGGACTGTTTTTATTAGAGGGTATAGTATATCCTGGGCGTGGACGTGCCAGTGGCTCAGTGGCCATGTAGGCGGGATGACCCATCCTACAGTGAGGGAGATTTTCCCGGTTTTGAGTAACCAGTCTTGCTGGGCAAGCCTGGACGTCTTGTTGGCTACCCATTGCGGGCATTGCCTCCCTTTTCGCCCCGTAGAGGCCAGACGCCGAACCCCCATGGTGGTGGTTCTCTTGTTCGAATTTCGGTCACCTTGAAATCAAGTCATCCAGCCAGAGATAATATGGATCCGTGGGCCGCGCCGGCGGTAGCTCGCTTCGAAGTGCTAGGGCAAGGATTCAGTGTATATTCCTAGACTAGGTAGATGGCTCGCTATTACTTGCGTAGAATCTATTACGGGTCCTGGAATGTAATGTAAGGAGCCGTTTTATCAATGGCGGACTGCGCGGGCGCTTACAAAAGAGGGTGGGTATTGAAGTACCCGGTAACCGGTCCATCGGGTGTGTGAATCTGATCGCTCGATCTGGATTTAGGCGCTTATTAGGCTTCTCACTCACTTAGCCTTCAACATTATTAATTTAATTCAATTAACGTTTCTTGATTTGCGTGCGTAAAGTTTAGTCATAGTTAGCACACATCATGTGAAGTGAGTCTCAGGGGATGTCTCAGGGGAGCCCCTCACAACATTATTGGCAGTTGTACCCACTATTTCATTTATGCCCATATTGTATACTTACACTCTAACATCATATATCAAATTGAACATGTATCACACCAATGAATAGATATTATGAGTGATGTAATGGTATAAAGATAGAGAGCAATGGTAATTCTGGATGAGCATGGTTTTTTAGCACATGTACATAAGTCTGATAGCAGATGAATCACAGGGATATGTAGGACTTTGATCTCTCACTCTTGTACTCATACCTTCCCCTCCCCCCCTTCAATCACATCACTAGCCCTATCATCTTGTTTGAACCTTGAGTGTCTTGCGCCTTGAGCACACTTCCAGTAGGGTTGATCTACTGTTACACATAGTTAAAATCTAGTTCACTTATCTATTTCTTAACTATTCTAAAGGTACAGTACTGTGGTTGAGCTTGATAGAGCCGGATCGATCCGATCACGGGGGCTTGTTTGGGCTCTCTGAATGAGACTGAGCTCAATTATTATTGAGTGCCATCAAGGCTATTCAACTCCAATAGACCAGCTTGATACTGTTAGAGCGATGCTAATACACTAATGTGTATGCGGACCCAGCAAGAATCAGAGCAAGAAAGTAGTAAGAGTAGGCACTGTATTAGTGGTATTCTCAAGAGAATGAGTTAATGTCTCTGGGTGTTTATTAGGGTGTTTATATACTACAGTACATGCTATGTCCTCATGTCTAACTACATACATGCTGCATCCTTCCGGCTTTCCATGGAACAGTTAGCTCAGCTGCATAAGATATGACACTTAATGACTGCGCCCATGCAGTAGTGGCAAGGCGCTGACTGAGACTATTAGTAAGATGGCCCGGATGATGTAATTAGTGTATCGTAAGTAGGTGAGCATGTTGGTGTAATATATCACATGTCTGATAAGATAAGGAAATATAGTAATGTGAAAAAGAAAGAAACATTGAGCCATAACATAGGTTCACAAACTCAGTGTCTACAGTACAGTAACCCAGGATATTGCTCACCTTGTTTGGCCTCTCATTCCACTCTGAGCCATCTGTTTTTCTTATCTGCTATGTTTTGGGCTCGTGAGTAACTGGCCAAATGCCAGTGGACCTTTGGGACATACCATGTCCTGTGGTGTGATGTGGCAGTCGTGATGGTGTGGAGCAGAGCATGCAGAGGAGATGCAACATTGGAGGCTACAAGGGGGGAAAGAAGGTGGGAGGAAGGTGGGAGGAGGGAAGAAAGGTTGGAGGCCATGACACACATTGGTATAGTGCACTGATATAAGTGAAGATTGGTGGTCTGTGTGTTGCATGCCACCTCCATGGTGAGTTCAACTTGGTGCGAGCATAAGTCAAGTGTAAGGTTCACATTGACTTTTTTTTTTGAATCATTGCTTAACCTCCGGAGTGGCGTTGCCATATGTGGGAGGGTCAGGGGCTGTACTACACAGTTTGTACCTGCTTGTACCTAAGCAGTTATCTAATGTCTGGTGACTGTCCTGACCCACTGCCGAGGTGTTCTGGAGGGACAACCAATGCAAAGAGTTCCGCGTAATGTACCCATCTTATTAGGTAATATCACTGCATCTCTCCTTCAGGATTTGAACTTCCCACACCCTGTCTTCCTCTGCCCTCAACTTGTCTTCCGATCCAGCCAGACTGATCATGTGCTCAGGAACCTCATTGCCGACATTCTCCTTTCTCCTCGGCCTCTGACCTAATTTTTTCGGTTTGTCTGGGCGTCACAAGGGGGGGTGAGACCCCGCGCTTGGCCTTAGGTGGCAGGGTACCGGAAGTGCAGCTGACTGGCTCACGGTCATGTGCTGTTCTGATAGCCAGATTCAGATGAGTAGGTTGGCGGCTGATTGGGTAGTGGTGTGGTGTTAAAATTTGTGCTCCGAAAGAGTGAGTGCTGATCAGTCGTGGTAAAAGAAATATATGAGGTGGGTGAAAAAGGGCACCAGTTGTAAGGGGACACTCCTATTTTCTCTCCTTTCCTTCATCCCATGGACTTTTACCTACATTTCCTTTGTTCCCCTTTGTTCCTTTTCGCTCCCTTTCCTTTCCACTTCCCTTCCACCCACTCCTTTCGCATCCAAGCCACGTCCATTGACTCCGGAGTCTTCCCGCACTTCGGACACTTCGGACTCGCTCGGACTCGTCTATACTCTTTGGGGCTTGTCCGGGTTACCTCTATCCTCTTTCCCCACTTCGTTACCCTTCACCCTTACTTCCCCAAGTTGCTGGCACGACTCCTGTGCATTTACCCTCCACTTCATTATCACATGTTTCCTTGTACCTTGTGATATTCACTCGGACTTGTGGCTGGTGTACTGTACAGTTATCCTACATTCCTCTCACGCCACTACAGTATATACTTCGCTTCCTAGCATGGAGAATCCTTATCCTGTTCTCTTTGGATTCTCCCTCTGCTAGGTGAGCAGCCCTCTCATGTATTGTAGTTAGTCTTATTCATTACCTTTGGATTCTCCCTCTGCTAGGCCTGCGCTGTCGGCCATCTTGAGGTTGCCCTTACACCAGTGGGGATTGAACAAGTGCCTCCAAGAATGCCGACCAGTGCTGCTGGGGTGCAATGGCAGCTGCACGATAGCCCACTTCACTATTGCGCCCCCCACATTGACATCACGGCGCACAATATCCACCTTGTGACCTGACATAAGGGTACCGAGTTGGGCCAATATGGCTCGATATGGCTCCATGGCTCGCTCATGCCCGCAATGGGCCGGTTCAGCCAGACGGACTTTTCACTGGGGTTGAGCTTTCAATTTCAGAATTCAAAAATTTGTGAAAAATCAATCAAAATATTCCACAGATCATATGCTGCTCGCTACAAGGTGGACCCGTACATGCCACACCGGAGGTGGTGGCTCACACCCACAAGTGAGCGCTAGGAGGGCACATATGAGTTCTCATCGATATGCACCCAGTGTAAGGGCAACCTCAAGATGGCCGACAGCGCAGGCCTAGCAGAGGGAGAATCCAAAGTAATGAATAAGACTAACTACAATACATGAGAGAGCTGCTCACCTAGCAGAGGGAGAATCCAAAGAGAACAGGATAAGGATTCTCCATGCTAGGAAGCGAAGTATATACTGTAGTAGCGTGGGAGGAATGAAGGGTAACTGTACAGTACACCAGCCACAGGTCCGAACGAATATCACAAGGTACGAGGAAACATGTGATAACGAAGTGGAAGGGGAATGTACAGGAGTCGTGCCAGCGACCTGGGGAAGTGGGGACAAGGAGTAATGAAGTGGGAAAGGAGGATAGAGGTAGCCCGGACGAGCCCCGGAGTGTATCTACAAGTCTGAGCGAGTCCGAGGTGTCCGAAGCGAGTCCGAGGCGAGTCCGAGGCGCGGGAAGACTCCGGAGTCACCGGATGTGGCTCGGATGCGAAAGGAGTGGGCGGAAAGGAAGTGGAAAGGAAAGGAAGCGAAAAGGAGCAAAGGGAAACAAAGGAAATGTAGGTAAGAGTCCATGGGATGAAGGAAAGGAGAGAAAATAGGAGTGTCCCCTTACACCCAGTGCGTACACCGTAAGCTCAGAGAATTAGGCGCGCGCCACGTCAGCAAGTCTCGAGTTGATGGAAGTTGAACAACCTTCGCCAAATTACGGTCTTAAATCATCAAATCTCTACCAAAAGTGCTGCTTTCTAGGCGCAAACCAACTACGGCAAGCAAAATCCACACTTCCCATGATTCAGAATTGTGGAAAAGAGGCCAGTTCAGCCAGAAAAAAACATGACCGAGCCTCCAAAGTACGCAGAATTTGTTTGGCCTTATTTGCATGGGCCTTGAACCCTTTAGAGCATGACTGCGAGCATAGCGAGCAATCATAACCCGGTTCTGATTGAACCGGCCACCAGGCATACTCCCAGGCGACTACTCGTGCCTCC